ATAGTCATGGAGCTATAATTGACCAAGTAGAAAAGAATAAGAAGTCACCCCTCCCTTTTTCTTTAGCTCCTCGTCTCTGTGATCTCCCATTTCCTTAAACCTTAAGTTTATTATTGATTAAATCTATCAACAACATCTAGTGAGTTATTATATGCAGAGCCATGTAATAGGCCCTATAAGGAGATAAAATGGATTTTGGAGTTAGAATCATAACTCTGCGTCTTATCTAGTTACAGTGAGCAAATTACCCACCATAATTTTCCCACCTATAAAATGGTGATGGATGATGGTAATGAAAAAAAACGTGGTTTGTGGTAAAGATAAGTATCATCTACATGGCACAAAAGAATTGCTCAGTAAATGTTAGTTGCCTTCTTATCTTCACTCAAGTTAATAGTCAAATGAAAAAAGCAGCTCAGTTCTCCTTGTGTCTGATTATGCCATAAACACAGATTCTAAATAACTGGGGGAAAGAAGAGAGCGTAGTAGCGTCAGCTAGGACAAATGTTTACTGTGCTAGTTCTGAAGAACAGTATAATTTCTCTGATTTTTCTTTTCTGTGGACAAGTAGGAAATTCCCAAAACGCCAGACCATGCCCCTTCCAGGACTTTCTATTTATATACTGTGAACATCCTGTCAGCTGCCCGAATGTTGCTGCACAGGTGCTACAAGGTAACTCCTTTGGACCTTTTCTGTATTCCCTCCACACTAGTTTTACTCTCAGGCCCCTTTTAGCCATTTTACCTGAGCTACTTAAATAGAACTACGTGCATTTTTTGTCTTCTCTCTCCTCAGAGCATAGCCAATCTGATAGAAAGGAGACAATTTGAAACCAAAGAGAACAAGTGAGTAGCATTTTAGTTTAGTAATTATACATTTTTCAAGGTCAAATGCTTGAGGAGAAATTTCCTATAGAAACAGAAACCAGTAGAGACAATAACTAGTTTCATTGTATTGAATTGTTGACTTAGGTTGGTATAAATAATGCATGAGCCTATACTTTTCTAATATACCCCCAGTGAAATAATTTTGTATATTAAATTAATGAGAAATGTACAAACCATCGCCAAACTTACATTGCAAATGAGAGACAGTAAGAGTTTCAGGAGTGAAGTCACATTTCTAATTAAGTTTATAGAAAACATCCTTGGAGGGTAAAGTTATCCACTTTGACCAGGAATGAGGTTAAGGGGGAGTTATGCCCCAGGCTAATGAGTAAAAAGAATCTCCACGGCTAGGGGACAAGCTTCAGAGTTTTGTTTGTCCAACAGGCGTCTACTAGAAAAGTCTCAGAGGGTAGAAGCCATCATTGCATCTATGCAGGCTACAGGTGCAGAGGCGGCACAGCTACAGGAAATAGAGGAGATGATCACAGCCCCTGAACGCCAACAGCTAGAGAGTCTAAAACGTAATGTCAACAAGTAAGCATCATACACTTCAAACTTATGTTTCAAAATACCTTCAAGACAAATCCACCTCTCCCAAATTAATACAACGAAACTTAAACTATCTTCTTTTAAGTTCAGTTAACAGAATTTAATCCACCTGTTTCCCTAAGCTGAAAACTCTGAAGACATCCTCAGCTTCTTCTCCCTCACCACACACTCTTGTTCACCAAAATTGTGATTTTACTTCAGTAATGTGTCTCAAATCTGGCCTTTTTTTTTTTTTTAGATTTTATTTATTTATTTTTAGAGAGAGAGGGGAAGGGAGGGAGAAAGAGAAACAACAACGTGTGGTTGCCTCTCACATGGCCCCACTGAGGATCTGGCCTGCAACCCAGGCATGTGCTGAGTAGGAATCGAACCGGCTACCCTTTGGTTCGCAGCCCACAATCAATCCACTGAACTACACCAACCAGAGCTCAAATCTGGCCTTTCATCTTGGCCCCTGTACAGGCCTTCAAAACCCCTTTCCTAGGTCTTCACAATTACCACTACCCCTCCTCATCCCCTGCCAACCATCTCTTAAAAGCTCTCACATTTATTATCTCTAAAATGATTGATCTCACTCCACTTTAAATGCTTTATAAATTCCTATATTTATAGTATAAAGACCAGCCTCCTTGATGTAACATTTAGAACCTTTTACAATTTCATAACTGCCTATCTCTCCATCTTCATTTCCTTTTACTTCTCACCATTTGCCTTAATAGGGATTGCTTTGAATCTGATTACTTTGGGGAGTGCTGCCATCTTAACAATATTAAATTTCCAACCCATGAACATGGGACGTCTTTCCTTATATTTGTCTTTAATGGCTCAGTGATGTTTTGTCATTTTCCATGTTTAGGTCCTGTACTACTTTTGTTAAATTTATTCCTAAGTATTTTATGTTTTCATGCTATTTTAGCATTTTCTTTATTTCATTTTTGGAATTAATTGACAGTGTATAGGAATAAAACTAATTTTGTGTTTTGATGTTACATCCTGCAATTTTTAAGAATTCGTTGACTCTCCTTGGCTGGTGTAGCTCAATGGATCGAGCATGGGCCTGCAAACCAAAGGGTCTCCAGTTTGATTCCCAGTCCAGGGAACATGTCCTGGGTTGCTGGCCAGGTCCCCAGTGTGGGATACATGAGAGGCAACCACACATTGATGTTTCTCTCCCTCTTTCTCCCCTTCTCTCTCTAAAAAAAAATAAATCTAAAAAAGAAAAAAGAATTTGATTCATTTTTTTTGTTTGCAGATCCTTTGAGATTTTTCCATGTATAGGATCATATCAATCTGAATGCCTTTTATTTTTTTCTTAATTGCCCTTCACTAGAACCTACAGTAAGAGGTTGAATGAAAGTGAAAAACAGACATCCTTGTTTTATTCCTGATCTTAAGGAAAAAGCTTTCAGTTTTTCACCATTAAGTATGATATTAGCTATGGAGTTTTTATAGATGGCTTCAATCATGTCGAGAAAGTTCTATTCCTAATCACTACACACTTAGCCTTAACCACTCTCAGATTCTATTTTAAAGCACTCTAGATCCTTTTATACCTTGGCCTTTACATGTGCTATTGTTTCTTCTCATAAGTTACAACTTTAACTTCTTGTAGGACAGAGGCTACATTTTTTGAATCCTTGGCAATTCCCACAGTGCCTGGCATTTAAGAGATGTTCAGTAAATAGGATAATGATCTATTGGTTCTCCTGCTTTCTACCCAGGACTCTCAAGGGTAACCGGGCTTTTCTCCATGGCCACACCCAGCCTCATCTCTAATCACAAATATGCTAATAAATGTTCAGTCTGAGAAGATGCTTTCACTTTTTCACTCAGGTTGGATGCCAGTGAGATCCAGGTGGATGAAACTATCTTCTTGCTGGAGTCATACATAGAGAACACCATGAAGAGACAGTAACAATGACCCTGAAAAAGAATCTTGCTCAAAGATCTGGAGGGACTGGAAGGAAAAATAAAGGAGGTGCCTGGATGCACTCTTTGCAGTGGGATAAGTTATAGATTCTGGTACTGAAATCCTTCATCCCCACCTCCCACAATACACCAGAAAGAGTGAGACATTTTTTTTTTAAGTTTGCTGATCCTTCTTGACCTATCACTACATTCTCCTCTTTGGCAGGAGAAGTTTAAAATCAACTATAGTAATCCATCAGTTCCCACCAAGAAGTCAGCTCATCCTATGTTACATCATCCTTGGAAGTGGAAGAAATTTCTTCCCAATTCCATTTTCAAAAGTTGTACCTGTTCTCTATTTTGTTACAATGTAGTCTTTTTAAAGATTTTATTTATTTTCAGAGAGCTGGGAAGGTGGGGGGAGAGGGAGAGGAACATCAATGTGTGGTTGCCTCTAGTGTGCCCCACACTGGGGACCTGGCCTGCACCCCAGTCATGTGCCCTAGACTGGGTATGGAACTGGCAACCCTTTGGTTCACAGGCCCACACTCAGTCCTCTGAGCCACACTAGCTGGGGCTGTTTTGGTTACAATGTAATCTTAAACACATACATACAATGTAGAGAATGTAAAAGACTACCACGAAGTAGGGGGAAAAGCTATTTTCGGGACTAGTAGGTGCATCAGCCCAAGCAGTCACTCTAGAATCTATGGGTAGAAGCCACATTTGCCAGCTCCAGGCTGACATTGTGTATGTAAAACATTTCATAAAGCCCAGCATATGGTAAGCAATCACTGCCTTCCTCTTCTCCGTAGTTCTTTAAGAGTGGCAATTCTAAGCTTGCTTTCTCAGTACCATAATTAATATAGTGGATGTAACTTGTCATAGCAGCCTCAGTTCACATGAAGCAGTTAAGTGTTGTTTTGTCATCTCTAGTTTCCTCTTACCAATGTTGGTTCTAATTAATTAAAACATCTGAGTGCCAATTAATTGCTAGCCATTATCCTAGGTATAACATACAAAGGTAACCATGATGGCTACTCATCATTTAGTGAGCACATATTATATACCCAGTACTAGGTCATACCCTAGGGATACAAAGATAACTACATGTGCATACTACATGTGATAACTATTGTGCATACAGGCTAATGGGAGGAGACAAAGAAGTATGGAGGGGGGCGTATAATGGAAAGCATCATGTACAGAGACCATTTAGAAAGTGTCACTTGATCTGTAGTTTGAAAAATGAAAATGAGGATTTGCCAGATGGAAGGGGACAAGGATCCCAGAGGGAAGCAGAGACTGGTTTGGGGGAGAACTGCAAATAGGATATAACTAGAAAAAAAGGCATATGAATCATGCCAGACCTGAGGCAAAAGAGAGGTGTCAAAAATGTTCTCTGCATATCTGGTGAGGAGATAGGTGTAATCAATTTGAGGCGATCCCTGCTGCAACAAGTGCACAGAGCGTTGTGGAAGGGTGCTTATAGTTCAGCCTGAGGCTGTTGGACAGGGAACATGTGAGACCAGAAATCATGAGGTCTGGGGATCATTGTCCTAAAAAAAGATGGTAAGAAAAGAGGAGCTAAAGGTTTCAAAGTGGCCTCCTTTGTCATTTATTAATATTACACTGATGATTCATCTCCAAATGTTATGCCTAAATTTCCCCGGGACATTGGGGAAGCTTGCCTTCCTTTCGACCCCGTAGACCGAGGGGAGGTGCCACTGGGCCACCAGAGGGCGCCAACCAGGATGCAGCGAACCACAGTGACAGTACAGCCGCCGCGGTGCGGTGCTACTGGTGCTACTGCTTCTTTCCGGACGCCAGGAGTAGGTGAGCTTCCAGGCAGTGTTTGTGGCCCGTTAGGCGCCGGGGCAGGGTTCGGGTCGTGGTTCGCATACTGTGACTTGCAGCGAGGACAGCTGCTCCTTTCAGACAGGCCATTCCCGGGTGCCTCAGCCAGGCTTCTGCTTCAGGTTAGGAGGGCCCCAGCGGTGGGGAGTGATGGAAGGAACTGTAGGTATTGCCTAGGCCTTGGACCTGGTGAGAGCTGCCTACAAGGTCTGGGGGCCCGGCCTATCACCTCACCTTAGCCTCCTCCCCCAACCCGCGCCGTATCATCCAGTTTTTAAAGGCTCCACCCGGCTACTACAATTTTAACCTAAAGGACTCCCTCCTGCCAGCGACCCCCTTTCTGCCCTTTTGCGGCCCTGAACCAACAGCCCAAGCCTCTGGGAACCAAGCTGCCCAAGAATCGAGGTGTGGATCTGGGTGTGGCAATCATCCTGCAGTCCAGCGACATGACCGTCTTGTTGACCCGAAGGACACACACCCTCAGTTTCCCCCAACCTCTGGGTACCCCCAGGTGAGCACCCTAAAGTCGAGGCCCTGAGTCCTGGGAAGAAACTTGGTCTTCACCTAACATGCCATTCCCAGTTTGAGAAATACAGTAGGCACAGAGATGTGGTCTGCTCCATAATCACAGGAGGCTGCAACTGCATCTGTGCCCACTAGAGAGGGCAATGTAAATAGTGAGTGGTGGCCGCTAGCCAAGAATACCATTTACCTATTGGGCCCACTGTTGTTGCAGGTGGGCACATGGAACTTGATGAAGAGGTAGCTATTCAGCTGACCCAATCTGCACCCTGTCCTGAACCAAAGACCTATCTGGGACCACCTTGGGTGTGGCCTGAGAAAGGGGCAAACCAAGGACTTGGAGGTCAGGCACTGGCTGACTCAACCTCTTTCTGCCAGCTGCTGGACGGAGGGCTTCGAGAGCTTTATGAGGAGAGTGGACTACAGCTGCCCCAGGGCCAGTTCTCTTGGGTCCCTCTGGGGTTATGGGAGGTGAGACAGGGACCTGGCAGAGGTCCCTCCCTATTTAACCAAGAACCCTCAATTTGTACCCCACTAAGTCCCATAAAACAGTCTTTCCTGCTTTGGCCACAGGAAAAATAATGGAGAGTGGGTGGTTTGGTGTTCCCAAACCCACAATCCTCACCTGTGTCTGTCTGGCACCATCTCTACCTTCCACTTCCTCAGCTGTATTGAGTCTCAGAAAGAAACAGGAAGTTCTCATTTTGCCATTTTCTTCTCTTAGTCTGCCTACCCTCCTAGGCTGAGCTGGGGTGTCCCCAAATACCATCACATCATTCTCTATCTACTTGTGGTCTCCCAGGAGTCACAGCAGCAGCTGCAGGTAGGGTTGGCAGTGGAGGGAGGATATGGGGGCACAGGAGGCCCAGACTGGTTTTGACTATGACTACGGTGGGGGAAAGGGAAAATAGGAGAAATCCAATAGCCTTGCCCCCTTCCCCAAGTTTCTCTCCATTCCACCTGTGGGTAGATTATGATCAGAACAGGCTTCCTGAGACAAGCCATTATAAAGGGATCAACATGTCTGGCCCCAGGCACCGATCCAACGAAATCCAAGTGAGGTGAGCACCTTTATATGGCTGGATGCAGATGTAGCAGCTGCAGTGGCCGCCACAGAGGATGGGACAGGGACACCGAGACATCCCTCCCAGGACCTACCACCCTCTGTCCTGTAAGTAAAATCTTTTCCCTAACCCTCCAACACACCAACACATACACATTGAGAAGTTCAGCTTCTGTCTCCCAGGAGGAGGGGTGATTTGTGTGGTGGGAGTTTTAGGTGGAGAGTTGGTCAACTAATAATTGAAGAAAACACATGAGATGAAACACACTGTCCATCAAACTCTGAGGGTTTCTGCTCTGAATGGCTAGCCCTAAAGCCCTGGGTTTGTGTCCTACTCTCCCATAGGGCCAAGTCATTTAAGCCTCCTTGAGCCTGTTTTCTTTCTGTAAAATGAGGTTAACATCCACCTGCCCTTCTCCTGTGGCATCTGAGAGGATTATGACAATGGATATGAAAGTGGGCTAAGCCACAAGGCACAGCCTAGACAGGAGCTGTCATTATGTAGTGCAGTGGAACTACAGGAGGATGGAAGAGTGCGACCTCTAGCTGTGCCCATGTCCACACTGCTGCAGACAACCCCAACCACCGCAGAAGTCAAAGAAGTGGCAGCACTGGGACCAAGTTTGCCCTCAGGCTCTGGCTGCAACATCTGTGCAGGAAAGGGTGAAGAAGGGTAGGAGGCTCCACAGGGTTGGGCTAAATGTATTAGTGCTTTTGTGGGCATTGGGGGAGGGGGTAAGAAGAAACTAATGCCCCTGGAAGTCCTCAGTGTGGCACTTCTACCATGTGAAACTGGAGCTCATTTGGATCCTGAGCCTGCCAAGGACCCCTTCCCCACAAACTAGGGATCTGGAAAACCAGTGCATAAACCCCTCTCCAGTCTACCTGTATGACACAGAAGATTCGCAACCTTTATTGTGGCTAAGAACTTTGCTACAACTTTGGGAATAAAAAGTAAAATTACAACAGAGGTTCTAAGCCCTGGAGAAGCCTGAAAAAAAGAAACTGGCGAGAGCACAAGGGTCATCCCACCTCCCAGGAAAGGTGCAGAATGAGCCAGACCTCACCACAGGGCAGTGGGCCTTTTGAAGCTCCAACACTGGGCTGGTCAGCATAAGAAACATTGTGAGCTTAATATATAAATAGAGAGGGCCCCAGGCAACAGGCCAGGCCCTGCTCCTAAACCCCTGGGGATCAGGGGTAAGGCCTTATCTCCTCCTCCGGCATGCCGGGAAGTAGGAGGCAGGGGAAGTCATCTTTGGATGTATTTTGATTTTCCTTGTTTAAGTAAAAAATCTGCAAACCAAAACAGAGTTCTTTGTCCATGAGTCTATCTCAGTTTCTTTGCTTGTCTGTTTGACCAAAGAGAATAGAATGGACATGAAGAAACAATGGCTATGGGGAAGGAATGGTTTGGGAAATGGGGAGAGGGCATCTGGGAGGTCAACAGAAAGGCCCCTTCCCCACAAGGCTCTAGATAGTCAAGGATGAGAGTTTAGCCCTTTCCCCAACTCATATCACATCCTATTTGCCTACCACTGCCTAGGCTAATGTACCCAAAGGAACATGCCAGCCATCTAAAGAACACTTCAAAAAATAGAACCCAAATGTCCTTCAAAGGAAGTTAAACATTAACCCTTTGGGTGCTGGCCTTATCAGACAGAGAGGATGCCAAAAACAAATGTCCATGATGTCTTTCGGCCTTGGGCCAAAGCCTCTAAGGGTTCAAAAGTGGCCAGGGATCTGGACTCCACAGCATACTTGTTCAGCATTGGGAGACAGAGAAGGTTCCATAATCCAGGGCACTCAATCCAAGGAAATGATGTCCGACCGGCAGCCAGTCAAAGAGGGACCTGGGGGCAGGGGCCCTCCGTGCCCCTCCCTCAAGGCCCCCCCAGGAGCCACAATGCTACTGATACGGCCAGGAGGGGGTGCTGGAGTAGTGATGCGGTGAGAGCTCCCCAATGTGGTGGGTAGTGGGCCCAGGAAGTGGGAAGGGGTCCCTCGGTACTGGAAGAAATGGCCAAGGGCATCCTGTTCATCTAGCGAGGTGATGACGGAGGGACCATAGTGCTGGGAGGAATCAAGGGCAAAGTTTAAGATTTTATCCTTCTTTACCTGCCCCCCATCACTCATACCAGAAATCTCATATGTGATAAATCAACCCCTCTGGACCCCACGTATTCTCTTGAGAAGGAGAGCCTCTCTCTGATTCCCTTATTCCCTATACCCTACCCTGATTTCCTGTCTTGAGACAGCCCCTCCAGCTGCTAGTTTCTTGGCCTTGTGGGCATCCAAATATATGGAATGTCCGGTTGAAACAGCCAGGGTGCTCAAGTACACATGGGCGTGGGGGGTGAGCGGGCAAGGGACAGAATTACACTAAAATCTCGAGACAAAACAGTAACAGGGATCGAAGAAGACATAGATGAAAATCTGAGGAAGTACTAGTGGGGGCTCAGAGGGAAACAAACTGCCTTCACCAGCCCATCACAAATAGATTTAGATCTCCAGGGAAAATGAGAGAAGGAAGGTGCCCATTAGTGTCTAGAAAGGAATCTTCAGAGATCTGAGATCTTCGTAAGAGAAGGGATCACTTACCTGACTTTCAGTGTGAAGGAAAGAAAATAAATCTAAACCTGGTAAGAAAAAAAATAAAATCAACCTCCTGCCTGACCCCTTCACCACCAAAAACAACAGAAAATTTCCTTGAATTGTGGCCCTTTGCAAAGAGAGCCAGAAAGCTTTGAAAAGGAGCAGGGGTTTTAATCTGATTCTGGGAAGGACATGGCAGTTTAGGGTCCCCGTTTTATAGTCAATGCCCTACCTTGGATGTCTGCCCCCAGTGGGAAGGCAGGTGGGTACTCATGTAGTGGGAGACTGGACAGGAAATCTCCACCCAACGTGCCCACAGCAGGGCTCCGCAGCACTGAAGATGCCTGGTGACCAGATGTCAGGACTCTGTGAGAAGAGACAAGGAGCTGGGCAGCCAGCAAACAAACCATACATGCCCTCACCCAACTCTAGCCTCCCAAGTCCCCTCCATGCACCAGGCTTTGCCCCATGACCAGAAAGCTTTCCTGACTTTTTCCTCTGTCCCTTCTGTTATAGAGTCAGCCTATTTCCTCATACCCTTTGCTTCCAGGTAGGGCTAGGATTGCAGCTGAGGTGACAGGACAGTGCTTCTTGGTTGGGGGCAGGTCCTCCTCATCTGATGAGCTTTCTATTGTCAGGTCAATAACTTCAACCTTCTTCTTATTCTCTGATGAATTGCCCAACTGGACTGGACTGTACTGGAGGCCTGTGGGTGGTAACAATACTGTGTCTCAGAGAAGAGGCCATTCAAGACATAGCTCAGCTGGGAGACAAGGGATCACTCACCATCCAGCCCATACCCTGGCGGGGGGCAAACCTCAGATGCCTCCTTCTTGGGTTTCATTGGGCACCAGGATCCATCTTCCATGAACTGGATCTCATCACAATCAGAGCAGGAATTAAGAATATCCATAAATAGACTGGAGGAGGGGAGAGAAGGGAATTTATGGGGCTGAGACAGTAGCCAGGCTTCATCTGTAAAATATGAATATTATCCATCCTACTCAACTGAGCTGTTGTTAGAATCAAGTACAGTATATAAAAGAGCTTTGCAAACTTGAATACTAACCTTTAAAATAAATATATTCTAAGCACCGATTTCATGTACTTAGTAGGGACAAAATAAGGAGCAGAGATAGATAGATAAGGAGATAGAGAACTCCAAAAACCACCTTCAAAAGGGCACTGGGAACAAGGACCATAATGTATGTTCTAGAAGGGGATTAGGACTACCTGGATCAGCATATCCAAGCCCTCAAAAGAACTTAATTGCTATACTCAGTGAGAGGCCATGCAGTTGTTATAAGCAATATTACAGTTCCATACAGTAGCTTTGCCACTTACTAACTGTGTAACTTCAGGCAAAGCACTTAATCTCTCTAGGCCTCAGTTTCCTCACTTGTGATAATATCTATGTCAGAGTTATTGTGAGGACTCAATAAGATAAGCATGCAAAGTGCTCAGCACTATGCCTAGTATATAGTAGGCTTATACTAGTCCTCGGTGTTGGAAATATTATTAAAGGGGTTAGAGTACATATATATATGTATATATGCATACTCACATATACACATGTATCTATACACATGTACACATATGAGAGAAAAAACTAGTGGCTGTCCTAGGTAAGACAAAGCAGAATGCAGAAAGGTCCTACCCATCAATGATAAGAGATTCATAGGGAGCCTTCTTGTCACACACAGGGCATGTCCACGTTGGCTTCTTTTCATTCATCTGTAGATACAGGGCAGCATCGAAGCTCTGCAGGTGGGCACAGGTGAGAGCACGACAAGGCACGGTCAGGCGCATCTTTCCTAGCTGAGGAGAGATGAGTTCTCTGGTCAGAATCCTCATGTCCCAGAAAGCCTCACTCTAGTATGCCTGAACCCTCCTCTAAGTCCAGAAGTTTAACCCAACCCTCCTCCATGCTTCTCCCTTGTACTCACCGGACACATGAGTGACACCCGGAGACTTGTAGTGGCCACCTCACTGTCGGGGTCAGCAGTCAGTTTCTCCTTGACTGAAACAGAAGTGAAGTCAAAGAAATGGAGTCAGCAAGGCTGGTGAGGAAGCCTGGGAGGTGGTGTCAGAAGCAGATGGCTTTTGGGGGGGTCAGTGAGTTGTCACATGGGGGTAGTCTGGGATCTGGATTATGAAGGCCAGGTGGGTGAAATTTCCCCATCCCCCCAAATGCAAATATAGCTTCATGATACTTTGGCAGAGATGATCTAGAAGGAATTAAAGCATCACAAGAGGGCGCCAGCAAGTGTGGCTCAGTTGGTTGGGTATCTTCCCACAAAAAGGTTGCCAGTTCAGCCCTAGCTTGTATGGCTCAGTGGACTAAGTGCTGCCTGTGAACTAAAGGGTCACCAGTTCCATTCCCAGTCAGGGAACATGCCTGGGTTGTGGGCCAGGTCCCCAGTGTGGGGTATGCATGAGAGGCAACCACATATTGATGTCTTCCTCCCTTCCTCTCTTGAAAAATAAATAAATAAAATCTTTTAAAAATTAAAAAAAAAAAGGTTGCTAGTTTGATTCACAGTCAGGGTACATGCAGGTTCAGTCCCCAGTGGGGGCCCATAAGGAAGGCAACCAATTGATATTTTTCTCTCACATCCATGTTTCTCTCCCTCTCTTTCTTCCTTCTTTCTCTAAAAATAAAAATTGTTAAAACACTTTAAAAAAAGATTCATGAGAGGGTTGGAGTAGATGATCCTTAAGATTCATTCTTTCCAGACCAAAGAACCCATATTCCAGTAGAGCCAGAGTTAGGGTGTGGGAGGTACAAAGTAGATGTATAATTGGGAATACAAGGTCCAATTCTTCAACCACTAAGACTGGTAAGGGGTGTAAGGGGAGGGTTGAGGTTAATGTGAGAGGTGAGGTAAACTGTCAGGGTATCGGTTTGTGTAAAAAGGCTGAGAGCCAGGAAGACTAAGAGTGGGGAAGAGGGGTAAGATGCTACTCACTCAGTGCTCGGGAATGGTCTGGGTTCCGGATGCCCTTTGCTCTGAGTTTTTGTAGTAGGGTCCCTGCAGTCAACTGCCTCACCAGGTACACAGACAATGAGTAATTCTACTTGGAAGTAGAGGAAGACAATTAACCTCTGCCCCCCTACCCTTTGTTCCATGAGGACCAAAGACAGTAGGTTAAGGCAGAGAAACCCATGAAGGGGAAGATGTTTCCCAAAGCCAAAACACTTGGGTGATTCCTCCTCACTCTCTGTATTGCAGGCTTCTCCATCCTCCCTGACTCAGCCATGCTCACCCGTCCAAACTCAGATGACCAGTTGACCACGATGGTGTTGGGAACAGTGGCCGAGAGTCGAGCCAGTGGTGTGATGTTGATGGGGCGGCTGGGCCTCTTGGGCTCAGCCCCATTCTTGGTAGGGGGAAGGTAACCCTGGGGAAGGGAGGGACTGGTGAAGACATCTTGTCTCAGGTTACTCACTCCCTAGAGGGCAAATCAGCTTACTGATCAAGGACATGGGGGCCTATTCAGTGACTCAAAAAACTGGAGCACTATTATTGTCTAGGGGGTTCATTTCTGGGTGTAAGAGAGCTTACTCTGACCAGTGAAATAAGAACCCACTCATTAAGTTCTGGAGGAAGAAGAATAGGGATGCCCCAGCTGGTCCAACTCTCAGCTCTGGATTCATCACTTCTGAGAAGCCTTTCCTGAATATTTGGGTTGAACTAATATCACTCCTCTGGGTTCTGACAGAACCTTTGTTCAGTCCTATCTTAGTACTCTCTACATTAGTACACTCTCTATTGATTCAATCAGGAAACCGAGCACATACTATGTACCAGGCACTGTGCTAACATGTCTCTTTCATAATAGGGTTTTTTAGTTAAGATGTAGGACTTAAACAGAAGAGGTTGCTGCCAGAAAAAGGAAAGAGTATTTACCGGCAGGGGACACAGTTTCCCATTGACCTTGACAAAGAGGTTGGGAGGGAAACAGTCCTCCTGGGGACAGCTGGTCTCACAGAGACAGAACCTAGGAAGAGATGAGAGAAGATAAAAGGATGGGGGCAATTTCTTGAGCTGAACCCCTCAGCATTCAATAGCTGAACCAAGGATATCTCCTAGGGGTATCTGTCATTCTCTTATTTCATTCCCACCCCTAAAGGAAGGCTGGCAGGGAAGAAGGGAAAATCAACTCACCTTAGCTGTACCTGTATGGTATAATCACATTTGGCCCCTGGTAGAACCTCTCTGTCAGGGAGGGGGAGGGATAGGTGTCAGTATGTGGCCCCCCCCAGAGGGCAGGAGTAAACAGACAGAAATGCAGAAAGTTAGATGTCTAAGGGATAGCAAAGACATTTGAGAGAATGAAGAGACAACGCAGGTACAGGAGAATGGATAGGAAAGAGAACAGGGCAAAAGAGAAGAAAGTCAGAGCAGAGTCTAGAGGTAACCAATCCTAGAATGAGGCAAGAGGACCGAAGAGATGTACCTGGATGTGAGAATCTGCTGAACTTGCTGGGGTGTGAGTGCGAAAGTAAAGTGCGCTTCCTCAAACCGCTGGCTAGAGGTGGATGCTGAGAACATAGAGAGGCAGTTATTCACAAGCCCATGCACAGGCAGCCACAGAAGTTACCCCCATCCCAGGCTGATGATCCCACGGAACTAAAGAATTGGAATGGCTTAGGGAACAGGCATGGAGTCCAGGAAGACTGAAGGACCACCCACAAAGAGCCATACCGAGGGTGGTGGGCCGGATGAGCTCCCCATAGACTTCGTAGAAGGGCAATGGTTTCATGGTAACATCAGGATGCACAGGCTGGGGCAGAGGGGGGTGCATGTCCACTTCCCGCTTGGGGCCCAGCAGGGTACTAGAGGCCAAGAGGACTGGGGGGATGGGAGCTAGAGAACCAGGGGAGCCTACAGGAGGGGTTCCGGGGGGCAAAGAGAGGAGGGAGAGATCAGAGGGCCCAAGTGTCTTCCGGGGGAAGCGTCGGCGGTAAAGTTCTTTGATCTTCATCTGGACACTGGGGGCACAGCTGGACTTTAGGAGGTGCAGGGCCTTGGCCAGGAGCTCGTGTTTCCGTCCACTCTTGTTCCGGCCAGCAAAGCCAAGGAGCACCTGGAGCTCAGACACCCGGAAACTCATCACCATGTGCTGAAGAGAACAGAGAAATCTGAGAATACTATTTCGCATAGGCCTGTCCTGCTAAGAACACTGGGGCTGAGCTACAGGATGGGCAATGCTTCTTTTTTTTCAGCACTGATCACAAAGATGCCTTCCAGACAGTAGTATACTGCCAGGCAGCCAACCTGGCCCAAGGGATATCTCAGTCCCACTTTAGCAACCCTCAGGTCAACCTCACCACTACCCCCAGAGCTTAAGCAACCCTATCTCCCCATACCTGTAAGTTGACCAGATTGGAGCAGGGTACAGACAGCAAGCCATCCTCAGGCACACCTCTGAGCCCACTACAGCCTCCTATGCCCATACCTCTGCAGCCTGAACTCTACTCTAAGCTGCTTATTTCCTCTCCTACTCTTTCTCAGACTCTCAGACCCATCCCAGCCTCCTGGGAAGAGGGTAGGAGACAGGGAAAAGAAGGGGTTGAAGAGATTTCAGGCCAGACAGCCCACAGGGAAGAAAAGGGCTAGATGGCTGGAGGATTGTGTCTCATCCCCCTCACCTCCCAACACCTCAGTCCACCTGAGCTATATTCCCCAACCTTCTGAAGCTTTTGTGGCCAGGGTTTTCAGGTCAGGTTCAATGCTTTTAACTCCCCCAAATCCTTTTCTCAGTGTCATTTATATAAGCACCCCTCTCTCAGTCCTACTTAGCTGAGAGGGAAACAAGACCAAAACGTGGGGGCAAAGTGTTTAACAGTGAATCCCTTCTGTGAATCTCTAGCAAGACCCTGCCTTGGGCAGGTCTTGCTAGCCCTCCACATTCTTCCCCTCATAGGAGGCTTTACGGCTTTAGGCCCTTTTTGAGGTGATGAAAAACCTGCTCCTCCGCTTTTCTGTGCATCCTTATTCCTCTGTCTTGTCTTTATCTCCCTACTAGCTTCGTCAAGAACTTGCATTTTCCTATCCCATAGTTTCACACCCTATGTCTCTGCCCAAAGATACTGACTCACAGAAGCAGGACTTTTCCATGGCTACTTCTGCCCCACCCCTGAATCTAGAGCCCGCACAGCCCCGCCCCCTATATCTCAGCCGCCCACTGGTACTTCCCAAGGTTCAGATCCCAGTAGCAGCCTTGAAGCCTCCACCTTTCAGCTGCATTTCCCAGAAAAGCCTCCGGTACGCCAGCCCCCCCCCGCCCGGTACTATTCTCTACATCTGCCCCTATCGTCGCATCTCTTGGCCTTGATCAACTCACCCTCTAGTCTCTACAGCAGCTTTTCCCTCCGGCCCTATCAATACCTCTGCGCCTACTACCAAATCCGACTTTTACCCCGCGTCCCCGCTCCCTGAGCCTCAGCCCGCACATCCCCCTCCCTCAATCTGCCCCGCGGCCCCGCCCCCGGAGCCTTGCCGCAGCCCCCTCTTCGCCCACCGCCACTTCTCTCCTGTCTCTAGCAGCTGTCTCCCGCCCGCCACGTCTCCACTCCAACCTTCAGGACCCAGTCTCAGTCGCTCCCCAGACTCGGTGGACCGCCAGGCTCTGTCCAGATAGGAATGGGGGTGGGGACAAGTACCTTTAATTCGCCCAGCTCCGCCATCTTGAGACATCGCTAGCGAGAGAGCCCGAGCTCTAGCTCAGGCCCAGGGACCGGCGCACAACTCACCACCCCGGCCCGGCCGCAAATTGCCGCCTGCTCCGCCCCGTCCGGCCCCTACACCTCTCCCCTAGCAGGCCCCGCCCGCCCGCGCGCCGGCAAGGCTCCCGACTAGCTTTAGCCTTGGCCCCTCCCACCACTTTGGACTCGGCTCCCGCAAGTCTTTGGCTGGGATGCGAGACCGGTGGGCTCGGAGGAAGGGTGCTCCTCGAAAGATCGCGGGGTCCCCAGGGGTTAAGGAGAGAGGAGGAGAGCCAGAGGTGCCTACAAGAGAGGGGCAATGTCACGCTGGAGTGAGGAGGGGATGAGCTGTCAGGAAGCCAGAGACTTGAAATACGGAAGGAAAGTACCGAGAACTGCTTAAATATGAGAGAAATGGGGGAGGGGGGAAGCGAAGTTCCCTCTCCAAGTTTAACTGGCTAAAATCAAGAGTTTTACCATCTCGGGAAATGGGTGAGATCCAATCCATTTTAGTCATAAATAGTTCATTTCAAGATGGCTATTCTCAATCCTTCATTTCCCACTCCCACCCCACCCCAAACCACCAACACCAACTACAATATAGCTCCTGGTCCGGCCGTAGAACTACAACTTGGCAGCAGAAAAGTTTGGTACGGAGAGCGCCACTTACCAGGACGGTTGCTTGAGACCCGGGAGGGTGCTCAGAGGGTGGGCTGGGGAGGTGTGAGAAGGGGCCCGGCAAGACTACACAGCTGTTGGTCAGTGCCGCAACTGGACGCTGCTGCCGCAGCTCCACCCGGGCAAGACTTGTGTCCAGCCAAGCACTTGGGTTGTAGCCGCCCCCTTCTGGGTGAGCCTGCCAGGACTTAGAAGAGGGGATAGGGCGGAGCCTGGGGCGGGACCCAGGGAGCTACTCAGAGTCAAGGCGCCGGAGAGTCACTCCTCCAGTGATTGGGTCTGAAGAGTGGGCTGGATCTGAGCATTCTCATTACTGCTCTAACCCCTTGCTCTGGTTGTGGGCGTAGGGTGGAAGCATGCTGGAAGTGAGACATTGTGGACCAAGGATCTGACTGCATAAAGAGGTTTCTACTTGGAATGAGGCTCTCCCTGGGAAAAAAGCACGGGCTGCCAGAATCTAAAACCTACCTAAGTCCTTACTGTATCTGTGCTCTGCTACCCTCTACCCCAAAGACACCAGAGACCTTTGGTGGTGCAGAAGATGAACAGAGGGGAAATTTTCCTACCTCCCCAAACGGCATCTCTCTGCCTCTCTGATCTAGTTATGTTCCTTCTTTCAAAGCCTTGAAGCTTCCAGATTCCCAATCTCAACCAAGGTGATCACTCACATTCAGGTCTCATGAGAAAGCACAAACTTTAGAGCAGTATACCCAAACTAGGTACTTGCAGCAAATATAGCATTTTATAGTTAGTTGGCTGGGACCTAAATTATAATGTATTTGGTCGATAAATATTTGAATGCTGTTCAAAGATTGTTAGGTACTGATGACATAAAACCCTTGCAGGAGTTCTCAGTCTAGCAGCAGTGACAAGACAGTTAAACCTATAACCAGCATACAAAAAGTGTTTCGATAAATAATATTAGTAAGTCTCTCATCTAGCATAAACCTTCAGTGTACTCCTCCCCATGATACCCACTCAAACTATTAGGCCTAAAGGTGCCAGCCTACCAATATCCCAGATACCTGTTGAACCGGACCATAACCAATTACTTTGTGGATTTTGACCCTAGGGAAGATGTCAACCATCTCCTGACACTCAGGAGAAGTTTGCTGCTTTGCTGCTAGCAATGGTGGGACTTCAAGCTAACTTTAAGGTCAAGCATTTGGTTCCTAATTTCAATCACTCCAACACTTGAGTCTTCATCAGGTCATAAACTCATTTTTTGTTCTAGATCAAAACTTACCATGGACTAACATACCTTCTAGAATTTTCAGTGGTTTCGAGGGAAGGAGGATAGGGAGGATTTTTTTTAAAAGATAGGGAAACTTTTTTGGAGTGATAGATAGATTTATTACCTTGATTGTGTGATTTCATGAGTATACACATATGTCAAAACACCAGATTGTACTCTTTAAATGCATGCAGTTTACTGTATGTCAATTATACTATACCTCATTAAAGCTGAAAAAATATAAAGAAAAAAGTTAACCTCACCTTAATTTCTAGTGATTTCATAAAGGAGGGGTCTCCTTTTTTTAAAAAAAAAAGATTTTATTTATTTATCTTTAGAGGGGAAGGGGGGGAAGGAGAGAGGGAGAGAAACATCAATGCATGGTTGCCTTTTGTGTGTCCCCTGCAGGGAACCAGCCTGCAACCCAGGCATGTGCCCTGACTGGGAATTGAACCAGGAACGTGTGGTTCGCAGGCCCGCGCTCAATCCACTGAGCTACACCAGCCAGGGCTAAGGAGGGGGTCTCCTTTAATACTTTACTTGAGGTTGTAATTTCTAACATCTCTACAGGATACTAGAAAACTAGGAACGAGGACACCTGAATCTGATCCTATATGCAGCTTTTTGGTGCTGTTCACTCTCTATCCCTGGTGCCTGGTATATTGTAAACTCTTTAAATATCAATTTAATAAGTTAATGTCACTAGACAAAGGAGGGAAACTGCAAATCAGGACCAATATGGAAATATTGTGGGCATTCAAAGACAATTGAAACCCTATCATGATCTACCAAGCTTCACCCATAAAACTCCTACATCCAAAGACTAGGGAATAAAAGAGAAGTGAAACAGGAGTATAAGCCCCTACAGAAGTCCTGTTAAGTGGAAAGCCCCAGAAGAATAGGGGAACATTAGGACTACAGTTACTTTGGGAAAGATTTGGGTTGTCAGGGTAGCAGTTTATGGGGTTGTATTGGGGATATTGGGCCAGGGGAAGGTTCCACTTTTATGTTAACCTTAACATCACTGACCATTCCAAAAGCTCAGCTGTCCTGGGATAAGCTTCCAGGAGCCCCAGGTAGAGCTAAAGTCCTGGCTGCCATTAATAAAGCTGTTTCCTGATTCATACTTGAATTTAGCCAAATGATCTACCTTTCTCTGGACCCTTCTTTCAGCAGTGTCTTCACTTTTCACATGCCATACCTCATATGTAATAAGAAATTTATTAGTTGTTTTATATTTTTTGGTAATTCTGAAAGCAGGAAAGAGAGTCTTCTTCCCCTTAATAGAACTGACTTGAACCTTTTTTATGCTTTTCCTCTTGGCAGCTGTGCCTGCTTTCCTTTTCTCTATCAATACTTCTCCACTCTCCAAACCTTAAAGCAGTCCTGAGCCTATTCACACAAACCCCAAAGCTGACCCTCATCTTCTCTAGGACCTGATCTATGCTGCTCTTTTCCTGGCCAGACTCTGCAAGCCTTGTGTGGCCCCCTGTCTATCGTGGCAGCCCCTCCCTGCTCTTCTCTCAGCCGGGTGGTTACTGCCAAACCACGTCTGCTGACCCAGCATGACCCAGCAGGGGGCAGACTGAGAGAAGGAATGGGGAGAGATCGATGTGTGAGCCACCAAACTGAAATTCCAGATTTTGGAATGCTTCTCTGCCTCACTCTCACCTAGCAGTTTGGCTGGTGAACAGACAGGAAGGCAAGGAGATCCATGGGAAGTGGCCAAGAGAGATCCTTTTTTTTTTTTTTTTTGCTTTATATGTTTTTAAAGTATATTTTATTGATTATGCTATTACAGTTGTCCCAATTTTGCCCCCTCCATCCAGCACCCACCACTGCCTCAGGCAATCCCCACACCATTGTTCATGTCCATGGGTCATGCATATAAGTTTTTTGGTTACTCCATTTCCTATGCTGTACTTTATATATACCATGGCTATTCTGTATCTACCTGTGGGGGCAACTTTGCCTGCAGAGTGCCCCCATCTGCCACAGATGAGAGTGAAACTACCAAGACATGATCTGCTTGGGCAGGAGAGGTGGTCAATCTCTCAGAGGAGAAAGACCAGGAGCCCTTTCCTCAATGGCTTTTATTGGATTGTAATACACAGGAATATAGGTGGCAAGGATCAAAGAAATTTGAGGGCTTAGTCTGAGTCAGTGTCTGTCAGGTAAGGGAGTTACAAAGCTTTGAGAGAGATACTCATTTCCTGCTTGGACCCTTATCATATAAATGAAAGCACTCTTAGCAAAGCAGGCTTCACAGGACTTTAGGAACTCTTTCTTATGCCCAATCACCTCAGATCCCACTCTAGCTGGCAAGGGGCTGCATCACCTCCCCCACCATAGGTTTTCAGGCTTAAGTGTATTAGAGCCAGGAAGTGCTTCTCCCAGACAGAACTGGGGACTTGAGCTATGTCAGAATAGCCAGAGGGAGAGGGTCCATCACTCCCTCTTTGTTGCAGCCCCCGAGTCCTTCCTTGATGGCTTCCCAAGTGACTGTGTCTGGCTTAGGTTGCCCACCCCCCCAGGGGTCTTACCCATCATGGACTAACTGACCAGGGGTTGGGGGCAGGGGAAGAAGCAGAGGCAAAGTTGCTGCCAGAGACAAGCTTTGTCTCCTTAGTGGCTCGAATTCCAGAGGTCGCCCACTCAGCCTTAGCCATGGGGGACAGTTATAACTCCTGAAACCAGGCAGAGCAGTTCCCAACAACCACCCGTTTGTACTTCTTAATGCCCTCACCTCTTCACCCATTTCCCCACACCCCTCCCATCTGACAAACATCAAAACACTCTCTGCATCCATGATTCTGTCTGTTCTTCTTGTTTGCTTAGTTTGTTTTTAGATTTGATTGTTGATAGATATGTATTTATTGCCATTTTATTGTTCATAGATTTGGTCTTCTTTTTCTTAAATAAGTCCCTTTAACATTTTATATAATAATGGTTTGGTGATGATGAACTCCTTTAGATTCTTCTTGTCTGGGAAGCTTTTTATCTGCCCTTCAACTCTAAATGATAGCTTTGCTGGATAGAGCAATCTTGGAAAAAGAACTAAACAAAATGGAGATAAGCAAGCTATCAGATGCAGAGTTCAAAACACTAGTTATAAGGATGCTCAAGGAACCTCAACAGCATAAAAAAGATCCAGTCAGAAATGAAGGATATACTAACTGAATATATAAAGAACAATTTACAAGGAAACAACAGTAGAGTGGATGAAGCCAAGAATTGAATCAATGACTTGGAACATAAGGAAGCAAAAAACAAGCAATCAGAACAAGAGGAGAAAAGAAAGAATCCAAAAATCAAGGATTGAGTAAGCAGCCTCTGGGACAACTTCAAGCATTCCAACATTTGCATCATAGGAGTACCAGAAGGAGAAGAGAAAGAGCAAGAAACTGGAAATCTATTTGAAAGAATAATGAAAGAGCCCTGGCTGGTGTAGCTAGTGCACTGAGTACCAGCCCACAAACCAGAGTTGAGGTTCAACTCCCAGTGAGGGCACACATCTGGGTTGCAATCCAAGTCCCCAGCAGGGGGTGTGTGAGAGGCAACCACACACTGATGTTTCCCTCTCTTCTTCCCTTCCCCTCTAAAAATAAATAAATAAAACTTTTAAAAGTAAATCTTTTAAAAGTAATAATAAAGAAAACTTCCCTAATTTGGTGAAGAAATACATTTTTCAATCTGAGAACTGAACTGAAGGGGAAAAGCCAACTATGAGTGTCCCTTCATCCCTTTCTCTAGAATCAGATTTTTCATCCCTCTTTGCTCCTGGAGCAAAGAACACTAACCGCATGAGACCATGTGCTTCAAATCTAAACACATGGTTTAATAAATGATAGAATATTTTAGATTGTACATCTCAAAGAAAATCCATGTCTCTCAATGTCTCCTCCTCAGAGTAGACTCAGAAGTCCCAAGGTAGAGAAGAATAGTTAGAGCTGAGTCAGTCTGTAAGAGACAGATTTGTGAAAGAGAAATGAAGAGTGTCAATCCTCATTTTCACAGAGAGCTGTTTTTCAAACTGTAGGCCTTGACCCATTAGTGGATATATTTTGACTAATATTACTTTGGTGAAGTACAGTAGCAGAGAACAGACTAGAATAGGACATAGTTCACGTATGTCTGCATAGGATATACTGTATTTTGCTGTATATAATGAGCACCCATGTTTTTGGCCCAAACTTTCAGGAAAAAACTTTCATTTTAATTTTTTAATTAAATTATTTATGTATTTATATTTAGATACTTGTTTTTTGTATTACAAAGGAATTTTAGCATTTATTTTTAACATATTATGATAGAAGAAAATTTATGTAACAAATAATTACAAAACACAAGAACAGTTATAAAGTATTTCAGGTACTACGCATGTATAATGCATACACTTATTTTTCCCTAAAAAATTTGGGCAATACTATGCATATTATACATGACAAAATATGGTAAAATGTATTTCTTACTATGGATCATAATTAATTTTTTCTTTTTTATTGATTTTAGATAGAGAGGAAGGGAGACAGAAAGAGAAAGACAGAGAAACATTGATGTATTGTTCCACTTATTTATATATTCACTGGTTGATTCTTTTTAGGGAGAGAGAGGAGTGGGGAGAGAGGGAAAGAGAGAGATTTGTTGTTTCACTTATTTATGCCCTCACTGGTTGATTCTTGTTTGTGCTCTGACCAGGGATTGAACCTGCAACCTTGGCACATCAGGATGACACTCTAACCAACTGAGCTACCCCACCAGGGCAATCATAATCAAAATTTGAAAGTGTTGGCTTATGGAACCACTTTAAAAAAAAAAAAAGGAATGAAAAAAATTTCTTTCCTCCCCTGCCCCCTGCCATACCCCTTTAAACAGAAAAAAAAAAACCAAACCACCCAGTATCATACCACCTCCCACTTTATTTTGTTCCATGTAGCCCTGTGGATGGCAGGAAAGAAATAAAGGGAGATGAAGAACAGAAAAATGGGGAGAGATAGATGAGAGAGAGACTTTGCAGTATGGTGGAATGCTATTTGCTAACTATGAGCCCTCACAGTATTTAACTTCTCCATAGCTGTTTCCTAACCTTCTCTTTCTTTCTTTTCCTTTCTGTCTTCCTTTCTTTCTTTCAGATTTTATTTATTCATTCCCAGAGACGGGGTAAGAAAGGGAGGGACAGAAACACTGATGATACTTGAGAAATATCAATTGGCTATCCCTCTCATGACCTCAACCAGGGACCTGGCCCACAACCCAGGCATGTGCCTTGACTGAGAACTGGCAAAACTTCAGTTAGCAGGATGATACCCAACCCACTGAGCCACACCAGCCAGGGCCCCTAATCTTTTTTTTTTCCCCTAATCTTTTTAAGGAAGATAATATTTACTCTTCAGGATTGCTTCAAGGGTTACAGCTCTGAATCTGAAGCAAAGCACCTGATACACAATAAATATTCAATTCTTTGTAGTTATCATTATTCCTAATAGAGGAACAAGCCACCTACCTCTGCTTCCTTGGTGAGGGATCATTTGGCTCAGGAGGAAACTGAGAAAGGGAATAAAGGACAGGAAAAGGCTTTACAGTGGATCAGGAAATTGAAAAGGAGTGACAAACATCTCTCTTCCTGTACATTCATGTGCAACTTCTCTTGCTCTTCCTCATGAGATCCAGAGACCTGGCACTGGAACACCTAAAGTCTAGCCTTCCAAGAATGACAAATATGTGCAAGAGAGAAGGAACCCCAAATGCAACACCCCCTGCCCAACTCTCTGTCTCTCCTTCCCCTGATGCTTACCTGAGCAGCATTCAGCAGATGGTTCCTATAGGTAGAGATGATCTCTTCGTGGTTCTTCTGGGAATCCTGGGAGTAAGCATCAATTAGGAGTTATGTGCCTACCCTCCCATACTCATCCTAATACTCCAAGCATGAGGAACAATAAAATTAAGTGGTCGGCTGGGCCAGGTAGTCTCCCTTGGCCCATCAATGGCCCAGCATGGACCTCTGCCTGAACAGGTCTCTGAAATTCCCGGAATCTCTCTTACATATACATCATTGCCACTGTCCACCCTCTTCTCTAGCTCTGTCCATTTCCCTGAGAGCCAAAACATACCTCCAACTGCAGGGCCAGGCGAGCATTTTCTCCTCGAACTGTTAGGACTTCTTCTGAAAGCTGTTCCAGCTTCTTCAACAATTCCTTGATCTGAAACCAAAAGGAACCAATGAGGCCCAAGTCATTTCCCACTCACCCCACTACCACCCAGGGTCAAGGTCAGCTTTCCTTTTACTGAGTATATAATATGTGCCAGATACTTTTACACACAGTGTCAGATACTTTTACATACACCTTGTCTCATTTAACACTCAAAAGAGCTCTACTTCTGTTCTGAAAAGAACAATACTTCTCTAGAAGAAGAGAGGAAGCATTATTATTCACATTTTGTAGATAAAGAGCCTGAGTTAAGTAATTTGTCAAAAGATGACCTATGACCTGAACCAAGATCTCTTTGAAATTGTGGTCCATGCTCTTTTTTAAAAAATATTTTTTTTAAAAAAAATATTTTATTTAATTTTAGAGAGAGGTAAAGGGAAGAAGGAAGAGAGGAAGAGAAACATCAATGTGTGGTTGCCTCTCATGTGCCCTTACTGGGGACCTGGCCCACAACCTACACAGGTGCCCTGACTGGAAATTGAACCAGTGACCCTTTGGTTCACAGGCCAGTGCTCAATCCACTGAGCCACACCAGCCAGGGCCATGCTGTTAACTCTACTGGATCCTGATCTAATTCTGGCTGCTGACCACTGAGAAAAATAGAGATGAGGTTTTGTGGTTTGTGAGGCTAAGGCACAAATGTGGTTAGTGATAACCAGCAGTAATAGGAATGGTTGTAGTAAGAATAATAAAAATAGCTAACTGTGATACTTAAAATTTTCAAGAAGTTATTCTGAGTATTTTAAATATAATCTTATGTAACCTTCACAAAAACTCTATTATTAGTCTCATATATTAAAAAATACTGAGGCTTGGATGTAGGGGACTGGTTTGTTTTGGCGTGGCAAATGTGACTCAGCTCTGTATGGAAAACATACAGAAGTGAAGTGGTGGGCAGGAGCCAGACCTTCAAACTGAGTTTTCCCATGGGAATCAGGCCTTGAAAATGCACACAGACTGTTACGGCTTACTCTTGCTAAAACTCCATCACCCTGGTCTAAAACAACAAATGTGTATTGTCTATCTTCAAGGTAATATCCAAAGCTTGTGTGAATTGTCAGAGGTAATCGGCTCATTGCCATTCCCCTCTACATGTTATTTTCATTTCCTTGATTGTACCTAAAATGTAGACAATAATATTCTGTGTAATAGGTAATAAATCTTTCTCTGATGTAAGACCCAAGGAAAATAATAAAAGCCTGTCTAGGCAAGGGTCAGCGTGCTCCCCTCTTGAGGGAGTGGCCCAGGCATCCATAGGCACTCTCCCTTTGAGAGAATAGTGCTGTTCCCTTTTTCTCCACAGGATTGTTGTTGCCTGTGCATTTAGTCTCGTCGTCAGCCACAACAGGCAGATTCTGCTGGCCAGGGTCCACCACACTTGAAGACTTGGAGGTTTAGATAACTCACCCATGATCAATTAATAAGTTATGAAGCTGAAATAAAAATCCACATGATCTCAGTTCAACTTCCACTATACTATTTTCTTTTGCTCATTTGATCTCTTTCCTCTTCTCCTTCAACACCAACACAAAATTCTTCCTTTTTTTCATATAGAATAAATATTTATTCCAGAGGAACATGTACAAAAGACCCATGGACAAAGACAATGGGGGGAGAATTGAAAGTGGGAGGTGGGGGTGGGCAGGGCAGGGGAGAGTAATGGGGGGGGGGAAATGGGGACAACTGTAATTAAACAACAATTTTTATAAAAGAAGTAAAAAATTATTCCTTTTTCATCCCCCATCCCTCTTCTTAGGTCATGACTTTCAGACTTTTCCCCAAGACTGAGGCCAGATTCATGGTTAGTTTTTAAACAAGTTATCTACTCTTGACAAAATAGAAAATTTGGCCCTGGCTGGTGGTGGCTCAGGGGATTGAGTGTCACTTGCGAACCAAAGGGTCACTGGTTCGATCCCTGGTCAGGGCACATGCCTGGGCCGTGAGCCAGGTCCCCAGTTGGGGGTGTGTAAGAGGCAACCACACATTGATGCTTCTCTCCCCCTCTTTCTTCCTCCCTTCCCCTCTCTCTAAAAATAAACAAATGAAGTCTTTAGAAAAATAGAAAATTCATTAGAAAATTTTAAAAACTAAAATTATATCTACTGTTTCTCAACTTCAAGATGCATATGGGAAGCCAGCTTTAAGAATTGTGTATTGGCCAACCAAAACATCCAGCTAGTGTGACTCAGGTGGACACAGTGACTAAAGTAGGTAAAAAGATCTGGCATGGCAAGCAAGGTTTCAAGTCCATAACAGCATGAGCAAGGAATTGAGAAAAACTGTGGTCAAGATAGGCTGGAGAAGCTGACTTTCAGAAGTTTAAGCTTCAAAGATGAGAAGCATAGGCAAAAGTCATACATGAAAAGCTAAGGATTTAGTTATTCAGGGGCTGGGCAATGACTACTGGGAGTCCCATCCACATATGATCTGGTCATATGTGTCAGATTCCAGGCATACAAGTCTTACAAGCCAGAGCTCAGATCAAGTGTTCAGATGACAGAGATGAAAAGCCCAACTCAGAGGGAAATTCTTCCTTTCTTTAATTAGTCCCAACCCATACTGATTCCTCTTCTGTGTAACATTCCTTATATTTTTTATATACTAAATATTATGTAAAATATATGCTTTCCATATTTATTTATTTTTTAAATTAATTTTATTGATTATGCCATTACAGTTGTTCTATTCCCCCCTTCATTCCCCTCCACCCTACCCCCCATCCCCAACATTACCCTCCCTTTAGTTTATGACCATGTGTCTCAAGTTCTTTAGATTCTATATTTCCCATACTATTCTTGCTCCCCCATCTATTTTATATCTACTGTCTATGCTACTTATTTTCTGTACCTTCTCCTCCTCCCACTCCCCTGTTGCTAACCCTCCTTGAGATCTTCATTTCTATGTTTCCACTCCTGATCTAGCTGTCCTTTTAGTTTGCTTTTGTTTTAGGTCTGGTTGTTAATAACTGTGAGTTTGCTGTCCTTTCACTGTTCATCTTTTTTTAACTTCTTTTTCTTAGATAAGTCCCTTTAACATTTCATATAACAAGGGCTTGGTGATGATGAACTCCTTGAATTTGATCTGATCTGAGAAGCACTTGATCTGTCCTTCCATTCTAAATGAAAGTTTTGCTGGATAGAGCAATCTTGGTTGTAGGTCTTTGGATTTCATGACTTGGAATACCTCTTTCCAGCCCTTCTTGCCTGTAAGGTCTCTTTTGAGAAATCTGCTGACAGTCTGATGGGAACTCCTTTGTAGGTGACTGTCCCCCTAGCTCTTGCTGCTTCTAGGATTCTCTCCTTCATTTTAATCTTGGCTAATGTAATTATGATGTGCCTTGGTGTGTTCCTTCTTGGGTCCAACTTCTTTGGGATTCTCTGAGCTTCCTGGATTTCCTGGAAGTCTATTTCCTTTGCCAGATTGGGGAAATTTTCCTTTATTATTTGTTCAAATAAGTTTTCCACTGGTGGCTGTTCCTTTCTCCCTTCTGGTACCCCTGGAATTCGGATGTTGGAGCATTTAAAGATGTCCTGGAGGTTCCTAAGTCTCTCCTCATTTTTTTGAATTCTTGCTTCTTTACTCTTTTCTGTTTGGCCATTATTTGCTTTCTTCTGGTCCACTCCATTGATTTGAGTCCCAGTTTCCTTTTCATTGCTATTGGTTTCCTGTGCAATTCCATTCATTTCAATTAGTTTCACCTTCATATGTTTCTCTAATTTGTGGCTATAATCAACCAGTTCCGTGAGCATCCTGATCACCAGTGTTTTAAACTGTGCATCTGAGAGTTTTGCTATTTCTTCATGGCTTAGATTTATAGGCTCTGGGGCTTTGAGATCTTCTTGAGCCATTTTTGGTCTGTTCATGCCTGTTATGTATGAGGAGCGAAGCCTTGGACTCCCAGGTTGCTGGGTTGTGATGCTATATGTGGGGGCGTGGTCAGAGTGGGGAAATAGCAGCCCCCTCTGCTGTTTCACAACCCTGGGTGAAGAGCAGAGCCTTAAGTGGTTCACCGGGGCAGGGCCACTGAGGTCGCTGGGCTATGATGCTGTATGTGGAGGCGGGGTCAGAGCAGGGAAATGGCGGCGCCCTCCGCTGCCACTCACCGCTGGGGCCTGCTGGCTCCTGTCCAATTGCCTACTCCCTTGCTTGTCTATCCGGGCACAAATGCGCGACCACAGTCAACCCGCAGCCCTGCTCCCTCACTGTTTCCCCGTGGTCACTGGGTCACCCACCAGGTCCAACCCTGTGCCTGGATACTGCGCGCCTGAGTCTGTCTGACAGAGTTTTCCTGTGCAACCCCGCTCCGCCAGCTGCTGGTTTCGCCTCTCTTACCAGTCAGGCTGAACAATTTGTTGTTGTCAGACTTCCGAAAAGTTCAATTTTCTGTGTTCTGGCTGTGTTTTCTGTTGCTAATATTTAGTCATCTCTAAACTTGGTTGTGTGAGAAAGCACGGTGTCTCAACCTATGCCTCCATCTTGGTGGAAGTCCTGCTTTCCATATTGTTTAATCATTCTAAATTTGATCATGTACACAAAATGGTATAAGATTTCTGAATTCATTTCATAGGTAAAGTTCTAGATTTACTAAATTCATTTGCAAGTTGATTTTTTTAGGAAACTTGAGCACCTAACATGGTGGTTTTCAAATTTCTGTTTTTGCATTGGGGATCTCTTTGCCATTGAAAATCTCTGATTGAAGTGGGAGGGGAGAAGTGGGCCTTTAGCCTAGTCTACTTTTCTTAATCAATTAATCAGCCTTTGAGTCACCTCCTCAGAACCCTACCAAAACCACAGCAACCTACCATATTATTAGACTTGTACTCAAACTAATACACACAAGTTAAGTCAAAATGCTAATAAACAATAGTACTCCATGGGTGGTAGCCCCGACCACACTGCTTCTGAACCCACAGTCCCAAATTTTTACACCTAAGTCCCCTTCTTAGGTTTTAATACCTAAGTTCTCTTATATTTATACCTTACCTCCAATCTTAACTCCAAACTACCTCAGACTCAAACAAATTGCTAATAATTGGCATTCATGCTCTGGCAGGTGTGGCTCAATGGATTGAGTGCCAGCCTGCAAACCAAAGGGTCACCAGTTTGATTCCCAGTCAGGGCACATGCCTGGGTTGCAGACAAGTCCCAGAGAGGGAACCACACATTGATGTTTCTCTCTCTCTCCCTTCCTGCCCCTCTCTCAAAAATAAATAAATAAATAAAATCTTTTAAAAAAAATTAAAATCTTAAAAAAATAAATGGCATTCTGTTTTGGGGCAGGGGATATTTATCTGACTAACCAAAGGTAGATGCAGGTTAGCAAATCCCATAGACACATAGAAGCTTCCCCTACTTCTCTTCACCACTACCTGATCTGATCACCTTGGTGTCCTTGTCCTGGAAAGTCCCCAAAAGATGCTCCATCTTTTCTTTCAGCAGCTCCACTGTTTCCTCAAACTGTTCCGAGCACCCATGCATCTTGCTGGCCTGTGGCTCCTGTTCTGTGGCCCTGGCAGCCAGGTCCTCGCTCCTGCGGCGCTCCTTGGCCACAGCCTCCTGCAGCTGGCCCATTTCCCAGCAGGCAGTGTTATACTTTTCTAGCATAGCCTTTAGTTCCTGACCCCAAGGTTGGGCCTAGGCCACCAGCGAGCCCCAAGTTCTCTCATGCTGCCGCAGGCCAGCTGCCTCCCTGACCCTCAGCCAGAGTCCCAACTTCCTCTGTTGCCTGGTAGAGCAGTTCCTTCAGTTTCCTGATCTCCTGGCTCTTCCCACTCATTGTGGCCTGAACAGCCCCCAGCTCTTCCTCAAGCTTTCTGAGGTCTTGCTCTAAATCAGCCACTTCTGAAGATGCTGGCAACTTTGAGAAGGTGCCTGGCTCCCTATGTGGAGCAGAGGATCCTCGCAGCCACTGGTTTTCCTCCTCCAGCCTAGCCAGTGCCTGCTGGGCCTCACAGTGTCTGTCTACCAGGTTGCTGATGCGGGCCTGCAGCTCCTCCAGGGACTCAGTACCTGTGCCCCCACCACTCACTTTGCACACCAGCTCTGGGGGCAAGCAGTCCCACAGGCCTCGGAAGCCACTGCTTTGGGAGGCCAGCTGCTTCTGCAACTTCTCACTGCCCTCCTTCTCCAACACCAGTTCATTTGTCAGCAGCCCCACACTTTGCTGCAATTGCTGGAGCTGGACCTGTGCCTTTGGCTTGGGCACAAACTCCCACTGCAGCCACTGGCTCAGGGACTGCAGCTCCCCTTGCAACTGCTGCCACTCCCACCCCAGCTCCCTCAACTGCTCTAGCAAGTAACTGTTGCTCAGTCTCAGTGCTGACACCTCCTTCTCCAGTGGTCCCTTTGCCAGTCCTCCTCCAGGCATCTGTTCTCTGACAGGGGCCATTAGAGGCTCCCTGTGGGTCCCAGGAGCCCTTTTCTCCCTCTCTTCACCCTTTTTGGTGATGGTTTCTGAGACTGCCTTTGGTGCTCCTTCTCTGGGCTCCTGGACAGGGGCCACATGTTTCCCTTGTAGTCCTGCCTTTGCCTGATCCAGCCTCACTAGCACCTGCTCCAACCTGGCCTCCATCTTCTCCCCAGGCAGCTGCTGCAGCCTCAGCCTTGGATGTCCCCAGATCTCTCTCTAGGACTGGTCTTGACAAAGCCCCCAGGGCAGCATCCTTTTCTCGCCACACTGCAGCCAACTCTTCCCTCACTTGTAGCAGGAGCTGGTTCATGGCTGCTATGCCCACTGCTTCAGCCACTGTGTCTGTTGTTTCAGCCCCTGGGGCCAGTGACCTCTCCTGGTCAACATGTGGCTGATCAGTATGATCAGGGCCAAGGGTGTGTCCACTGTTGGTGATCAGTTGCTGTCCTGTGGCATTCCTCATGATCTCAGACATTGGGCTCTGGGGTGACCCCTGTTCTTCTGGTTGGGACCAACCATGGGCTTCATAATGGATCTGCCCTTGGGCTAAATCCTCAGTCTTCTTGGAAGCTAATACTGGGTTAGCTGAGGCTGTGGCTGTGATTACTACCTGCTGCTGCTTCTTTAACTCTTGTATGTGCTCATCCAGCAAGTCTAGGAGACAACCCTTCTCTATGCCATCTTCTTCAGGATAGATACTAGAACTCTGCCCTTCTGAAGCTATGGGCTCTTGGGCAAGGAGGAGCCCCAGCTCCTGCACATGTTCTTGAATCTGGTTCTCCAGGTCTGGGTAGGCTGCAGATTGAGCCTTACACTCTTCTGTTTTTTGTACCAGCTCCTGCTTCAACTGAGAAACTTCCCTCTGCTCATATTCATACTTCCACCTCCATGCCTCTGAGCATGTGCCTCCATGATTCTCTTCTTCTTGCTCCTCTTTGGGTTCTCCTCTCCATGAACTCTTAGGCAGAGAACCCACCTGAGGCTCAGATGGAGAGGCCTATGTAGAAAACAGACAGTGAAGTAAAGCCTGGAAGCTATCCTAGACCCAGGAGGGCCTTTCTTCTTTTAGACTGTCTTAACACCCCCAAGGATCACTTCCTGGAAGATATTCCAGTGGGATGGCCTGCAGTGGGTCAGAAGGGGAAGTACTTAGGGTCTTACCTTAGTTGCAACATCTGGATGTTGAACTAGCTCCTGATCTACATGAAAAGATATGAGGAAAATGAGAGCAGGTACAGGTCCCATGTGTTTCTATCCTGCACTCTTTTTTCAGACTCTCAGTGAGAGGAGTGGCCCCTCAGTGTCATAACCCTTACCACACATATCTTGGGAGCCACCCCTGTTCAATCCAGCAAACTTGATTCCCTATCCTAGAAATGTGCCAGCTCATTCATTTTTGTTTACTCACTTTATTGGACACTGTGCCAGGCACTGTAATAGGCACTAGGATATCAGTGGTAAACAAAACAGAAATGGCCTGTCATCTGAGGGGTGTACAGTCTACGAGGGGAGAGAAATATTGACCAGGAAACCACACACAGAGATATACAATTATAACTCAGAAATGCTAGTGATAGTACTAGCCAGAGTTGCCTTTAGTGAAAGACAAGGCTTCATTAAGAAACTTCGTGACTATGCTTTTGCAAATTTGGGGTCATTTCATAGTAGAAGCAATAAATAAGTAAATTCTTGACTAAAGTGACAATTATTTGTCAGAAGGGATATTGCCATGGAAACAAATGGAAATCTAAGAAGTTTTTTTGAGCGATAAAGGAGCATTTTGAAGTTACAACAGGGAGCTGGCTTTACCTCCCCTCCACCAGTTCAGGGCCTGCTGTACAGCAGGTACCAGCTTGCACAGTACCTTGTCTTGTGTGTGCAGAGCATAATACAGAGCATCATGCTCCATGCTATCCACCACTCCCACATCAGCTCCATGGCTCAGGAGTAGTTCAGCCACTTCAGCACTGCCTTTCTCACAGGCCAGGATCAGAGCTGACCTGTGGGTTAGGACAAATCTGAGGATAGGCTTTCCTTCTGTAATCAGAGTGTTCTGGTTCCAGAAATCTCATTCACAGTATCAGCTCTCATTCAGTGTGGGCAGGAGAAACATAGACCAACACCAACCAATGACAAAGCATTAGGCCAGACCAGAACTTTTCAAATGCCAGTCCTTGGAGCAGAAGCATCAGAAAGTAGGTAGCCTACAGTGACTAGTATAAAGGACACATGGACAACAACTAAGGGGGGTGGAAATGGGAGGGAGGTGGGGAGCACTGGGGGGGTGGGCTGGGATGAGAGTAAAAAACAGAAAATTGTACTCGAACAATAATTAAATAAATTTTTTAAAAATTAAAGAAAAAAGCCCTGGCTGGTGTAGCTCAGTGGATTGAGCGCGGGCCTGCGAACCACACGATCGCGGTTCGATTCCCAGTCAGGGCACATGCCTGGGTTGCAGGCCGGTTCCCTGCAGGCCAGTTCCCAGCAGGGGACGCACAAAAGGCAACCATACATTGATGTTTCTCTCCCTCTCTCCTTCCCCCACTTCGCCTCTAAAGATAAATAAATAATAAAATATTAAAAAAAATTAAAGAAAAAAGAAAGCAGGTAGCCAATTGAAAGGGACTTATTTTCCTCAATTCTTATATATTAAGATTCTGCATAAATTCTTTATCAGAAAAAAGGATTCCATTGCTTAAAAAATAGATTGAAAACCAGTAAATTAAACTATATGTCCAGAGGTATTGATTCTACTTCCAGAGTTCTATATTAAAAAGATGGGGCTGGCAGCAGCTGATTAAAAAAGTATAAGGAAAACTTTCTCAGGTCCTCAAGAGGAAAACAGTGAAGCAGTTGGCAGAGCTCTTGTAAACCACCACTCAAAAAAAAGGAGACAAGGAACACAGAGACCAACTTGCCTTCTTACACACACACACACACACACACACACACACACACACACTTTGCCCGGCAGTACCTTCCTAGACTGATCAAGGTCTGAATTTGGGGTGGGAAGATAAGGAAGGCTCATTTGTCATCCTTGTCTGTAACATTAACTCGAGCACCTCTTTGCAGTAGCTGTGAGCAGATAGCTGCACGACCACTCAGTGAGGCAATCATCAAGGGTGTACGTCCATCCTGCACAGGTTGTGGAAAGAGGGTTCATGAGAAGCCAGAGGAGCCAGGGGTTTGGCACAATCCTACCAGCTCCCCTCTCCCCACACCTCTCCAGAAAAAAACCCCCAGTCTTGGGGTTAAATGTTCCTTTTCTAAGGGTTAGAAGCTCTTAAGAAAATAAGGCTTAACTTCTCTGTGAGGAAGAGGAGGAGGAGCAGGGTGGAGTTGGGAAGGAGTTAGAAAAGGTGGTACTGTACATTATTTGATCACAGAATTTGGCTAATCAAGCTCATAGGAAGACATAGCCTCCCTGTGTAGAACACTGCTCAGTGGTCCAGCTGATACTCACATTATCTAGGACATCCCAAAAGGCTTTATGGTCACACAGCAGGAGCACACTTGAGGCACAGCCAGAGGAGACTAAGGAGAGTTGAAGGATGATTGGGTTAAAGGGAAGCAGGAAGTATATCTAATCAGACCATGACCCAAAATCCCCTCTGACAATTTTAGTAATCAGTCCTGCCCTTTCCATCAAATGTTATGTTCCTCTCCCTACCTACCTTATGGTCCCTGCAGCCCTATTTCCCACCAGTCCTCTGGCACTCACCTGCCCAGTGCAATGGACTACGACTTTCTGCATCCATAGCATCTTCATTGGCACTGTGCTGTAAAGAGCCACAAAGGGAAACAGCATGGAACATGGTGTTAACATTCTCATCCCATACTCATTGTTGAGTCTCCAACTTACAGATTACTATGGGGAGGGCTGAGAGGACCATGGCTTTGTTCAACTGCTAGGCAAGTCCAATAAATTTTTTGGATGATAGGCAGCCTTAAATGCCAACCCTGGTTTTTAAACCTAGGGCCTAAGAAAAATAAGATTATAGATAAATAAAAAATACTAGGGAAAATAACACCTGAGTCCATGACTGATATTTTAGAATCATAATTGGGAAACTTGAAAAGTGTTGGGAAGAACAAAAGGAGATACTTTCACAGACATTCACCCAATGGTCTATTTAACTGTGCCTTTTGTACTTTTGGAGAATTATTTATAAATTTTCCACATGTCATTTCACATCTATATTTCTCTAAATGTGCCTAGACTATACACACCTCAAAAACAGACAGTAAGATATTGTTCTAATTTGAAAACCTCTGTCCTCCTTCTGCCCACCCATCACCATCACAACAGTTAGTCTTTGAAGTGGCTCTGCCAGTGGCAGTGCTCAATATATGCATATTGATTGGCAACTCTACTTTATGACCTGCTCTCAAGGGCAGCATTAAGTGTGGTGCCTGCATATAGTAGATGTTAAATAAATGTTGTGAATTAATGAAGAAATTATTACAAGCTCTCATATTGGGAATAAGGGGTATATTTGATCAAATATTAGTCGTGACTTCAAGACAAAGTTAAGAAACTCTGGGTCCACTTCCTCCCTTCACAGGAGTAGTATCAAGGGATTGCTCTTACCCAGAGCAGGACCTTGACACAATGTGGCTGGCAGGAGATGGTAGCCAAGTGCAGGGCAGTGCTTCCTGGAAAGTGAAAGAGCAGATGAGGGAGGTACGTAGCCCCATATATGCCAATGACTCACAGGGAGGGAAGGCAGGAGATGCACAGATAATCAGAGGTAAATTAGAGAGAGACGATCTTAGCCATATGAGGCCAGAAATTCTTGCTCCACAAGTGCCTAGAACCTATGGTAGAGGTGGGAGGTGGGTGAAAGTACACCCAGCTGGTAGGGAGGGGAACCTCTGGAAGGATGCCGGCCAGAATTTATGAGAAGAGAAGCAGGGGGTTACAGCTGGAACCTACAGCAGGGCCCAGCACTGGCCCCCACTGCTGTTGTAGAGGGAGAGGCAAGCAGTATAACCCAGTGCTCAGTCTAACTCACCACCCTCATTCTTGCTATTGATGTCAGCCCCATTTGCAAGCAGTATAGTCAAACATTCTGTCAGGCCTTTGGAGGCTGCAGGTGAAACCTGCCAGAATCAAAGCTGAGAGGCAGAATGATGAAGGGCTGGGGATAAGGAATGGGAGAGTCTTAATAATCTCCCCTCCCCTTCCCTCCCCTCCTTTCCCCTCCCCTCTCCTCCCTTCCCCTCCCCTCTCCCCTCCTCTCCTCTCTTTTTTAATCAGCTGCTGCCAGCCCCATCTTTTTAATATAGAACTCTGGAAGTAGAATCAATACCTCTGGACATACAGTTTAATTTACTGGTTTTCAATCTATTTTTTAAGCAATGGAATCCTTTTATCTGATAAAGAATTTATACAGAATCTTAATATGTAAGAATTGAGGAAAATAAATCCCTTTCAATTGGCTACCTGCTTTCTTTTTTCTTTAATTTTTAAAAAATTTATTTAATTATTGTTCGAGTACAATTTTCTGTTTTTTACTCTCATCCCAGCCCACCCCCCCAGTGCTCCCCACCTCCCTCCCATTTCCACCCCCCTTAGTTGTTGTCCATGTGCCCTTTATACTAGTTACTGTAGGAGAGGGGAGGGGAGGGGAGGGGAGGGGAGGATGCAATAATTTGTGTTATGGTGAAAAGGGCCCCAGAGGAATTTTGTCAGCAGGCCTGAGTTCAGGGACTGGTTCAGATACTTCCTCAGCTATGAGACCTAGAGTAAGCCATTAAACACCTGTAACCTGTTTCCTCACCCGTAAAATGTGGAAAGTAATAACTACGTCATCATGTTGTGAGTATTAAATGAACTAATGTGTATAAAAATCTTTTTGTAAACTGTGAAGAGCTATACAAGTGTATGGTATCCTTATAACAAAACAGGAACCGATGGGGGACTAGTAGTTGCACATTGCATTTTATGAGGTATAATCTCAACAAGAAAGAGGCTATGGGAGAAGGTGAAAAAATATAGATAGGGTCAACGAAAGCCAAATAACTCAAATACTGTTTACATAGCCATAGCAAATTATTCATCAAAAACAGGAAAGATTTTAAATGTCCCAGTCATAAAATTATCTAGGGTAGATGAATTCTGAAGTAAGACTCCAGTATAACACTTGTAATTCCTCACAGCCCTTTCTTTTTTTTTTTTTAAATTTTATTTAGTTACTTTTCAAGTACATTTTTTTTTCTCTTCCCCCCCCCGCCCGGTTTCCCCCCTCCCTCCCATTTCCCCCCCCCCCCGCCCCCCAGTCCTCATCTCTGTGTCTTTCATACTTGTTCCTCAAAATCCCTCCCCATTTTTCCCCTTAAGTTCCCTTCCCTCTCCCCTCTGGTCGCTGCCCACTTGTTCTCTATTTCAGCGTCTTTGTTTTTATTCTGTTTGCTTGTTTGTTTTATTCTTTAGCTTCCTGACAAAGGTGAGATCATATGGTATTTGTCCTTCAATGCCTGGCCTATTTCACTCAGCATAATGCTTTCCAGTTCCATCCATGTTGTTGCAAAAGGTAGTAGTTCCTTCTTTCTCTCTGCTGCATAAAATTCCATGGTGTATATGTACCACAATTTTTGGATCCATTCATTTACTGATGGGCACGTAGGTTGCTTCCAACTCTTGGCTATTGTAAATTGTGCTGCTATGAACATTGTGGTGCATAGGTTCTTTGAAATTGATGTTTTAGGATTCTTGGGGTATAATCCTAGCAGTGGAATTGCTGGGTCAAAAGGCAGGTCAATTTTTATTTTTCTGAGAAAATTCCATACTGTTTTCCATAATGGTTGTACCAGTCTACAATCCCACCAACAGTGAACTAAGGTCCCCCTTTTCCCCACACCCTCTCCAACATTTGTTGTTTGTTGCTTTGTCTATTATAGCCATCCTGACTGGTGTAAAGTGGTATCTCATTGTGGTTTTAATTTGCATCTCTCTGATAGCTAACGATATTGAGCATCTCTTCATGTGTCTCTGGATATTCTGTATGTCCTCTTTAGAGAAGTGTCTGTTCAAGTCCTTTCCCATTTTTTAATTGGGTTCGATGTCTTCCTAGAGTCACAGCCCTTTCAAGTGCTATTTCAGTTAGCCTCTCAACATCCCTGGAAAGTAGTTAAGGCTGATATTATTTTATATATTTGACAGAAGAAGTAACTGAAGCACACTGAGATTAAGTAACTGTAGAGACATACCACAAAATGATGAGAAAACTGAGATTAGAGTCCAGGGCACCTAATGCCAAATCCTAGTTCTCACCACCAGGTCACACTACTACAGAATGATAGAATATATTTTACTTATTTCCAGATATACAGTCTAAGATTGCCTCCAGGGCAGAACCATCCACTCTCAGGCACATGAAGAGTCTCCAAACAGATTCATTCTCAAAGGACAAAATAAGCAAAATGACTACTCCACAGACTATACCAACAGAATGAGATGTAAGAACACATTATCCAATGTCTCTTGGGTGCCAGGTCACCATCAGAAAAAGCAGAGAGCTAGAACTACATCTCTAGCACAGGACATTGTCATCAGCTGACCTCAATGTGAAGTCCTTTGTTTAAAATCCTGATTCAAACATTTTCTGTCCTTGTGAATTTAGGCATGTAAAAACTTCTCTGAACATCAGTTTTTTAATGATATAACATCATATAAACTACCTAACACTGTGTCTGTCACATAGTAGGTACACAATAAATGTTAGTTCCAATCCCCATCCTTTCAAGCCTTGCTGGGTACATTTTGGATATTTCTGGGCTCAGAATTCTCCATACAGGGGAGTGGGAGAAAGGGATCTTGCTCATATTAGCCAATGCTTAACAGCCAGGCTGTACATATAGTAAAGGTGTTTCCAAGCAAAGTAGATACTTTTCTTTACAGCTAGATAATTTTAAATCAACCTGATTTACTTCCTGTAATCTTGTTATACTAAGAAGAATTTAAAACAGGTGGAAATTCTTCATGACCAAGCCTCTGCAGAACTAGGTGAAAAAAGACAGAGAGACACTTATAAATTCCATGATCCAGTCCATTGCTCACCCAATACCCACTGGATATTGAGGCACTGGATTATCATCAAGAGAACAGTCGCCAAATTAATCAGCAGACTCAAATGCAAGAATAAGCTTTGTATATCTGTAGTTAAGATTAGAGGGGCCCTGGCTGGTGTGGCTCAATGGATTGAGTGCTGGCCTGTGAACTGAAAGGTTTCAGGTTCGATTTCAAGTCAGGGCACATACCTGGGTTGTGGGACAAGTCCCCAGTTGGGGGAATGGAAGAGTCAACTGAATGATATATCTCTTGTACACTGATGTTTTTCTTCCTCTCTTCCTCCCTCCTTTCCCCTCTTCTCTAGAAATAAATAAATAAAATCTAAAAAAATTAAAAGGTGAGGGGGAGTCCTGCCCTGGCTGGGTAACTCAGTTGGTTCAAGTGTACTCCCAATATGCCTGGGTCGTGGGTTCAATCCCCAGTCATGACACATACAAGAATCAATCAATGGCCCTGGCTGAGCGGTTCAGTTGGTTGGAGTGTCCTCCAGTACACCAAAAGGTTGCAGATTTGATCCCTAGTAGGGGCATGTATGGGAGGCAGCTGGTCAATGTTTTTCTCTCACATCGATGTTTCTCCCTCTCCCCCTTCCTCTCTCTGTAAATCGATAAGTATATCCTCAGGTGAGGGTTAAAAGAAACAATGAATGCATAAATAAGTGAAACGACAAAAATTGATGTTTCTCTCTCTGCCCCCCTTCCTCTCGCTAAAAAAAAAAAAAAAAATTAGAGCCATGGCTGGCATAGCTCAGTGGATTGAGCGCTGGCTGGTTCAATTCCCACTCAGGGCACATGCCTGGGTTGCAGGCCAGGTCCCCAGTGGGGGCCACATAAGAGGCAACCACACATTGATGTTTCTCTCCCTTCCTTTCTCCCTTCCTTCCTTTCTCTCTAAAAAAAATAAATAAATAAAGTCTTTAAAAAAAATTAGAGTGCCTTTAAAAAAAAAGTAATTGCAGCTTCTCCTTATCTCTGGCTGTGGGCCTTTAAGTTTCCTATCAAGATGGAGCACACAGCCCTGGCTGGCATAGCTCAGTGGATTGAGAGTGGGCCTACAAACCAGGGTATCGTGGTTTGATCCCCAGTCAGGGCACATGCCTGGGTTGCAGACCAGTTCCCTGCAGGCCAGTTCCCAGCAGGGGACACATGAGAGGCAACCATACATTGGTATTTCTCTCCCTCTCTCCTTCCCTTCCCCTCTAAAGATAAATAAATAAAATATTTAAAAAAATTTTTTAAAAGATGGAGCACACAGTGGAGAAAGAGTGGCTACTGCTGTAGGACAGGTATATGGAACTAGAAAGGCTGCACTGAAGGAACCAAGAGATGACTCTTAACTTTTTAATGCAATTGACATTTCTGTAAACTAATTCAGTTCCAACTGTTTAAAGCTATTTTCTGGTTTACTTCCTACAAAGGCAGAGTAAGATAGTATGTAAGACACCCTCAAAGGCATCCTCTACTTGATTAAAATAAAATGAGATTATAAAAGCTAGGTTTCTGATTGTTCGCTGAATTTCTTATATTCTGGATAGCTTAGATTAATTTAAAAATGGTCACTGGTTTTTTAGTCCTTATCTCAATTTGAGAGTGCAGGATGATGGCCCTGAACCCAGGAGTGGGAGTGGGGATAAACAGAAGCAATCTCCAGTATCACTGGGAAGCCAAGCTTTGGGAGTGGCCAGGAATGTTATCACATTATTTCTCTGACAAACGGGCCCAGAGTGGTTGGCTACTAAGGGAGTGGAGGAATTTATCATAAGAAGTATGAGGAAATTTTATGAAGAAATATTTTCCAACTAAAACAGGCCTATTATCAAGCTTTTTGTGATCCCATTCTGAGGAAACAGATTTCTTTCCAGCTAGATAGTTCTAAATCCACCCAGTTTACTTCTTATAATTTTGTTACACTAAGAAGAGTTTAGAATGGGTAGAAATTCTTCATAGCTAAAACCTTTGTAGAGCTGGGGTGAAGAAGGACAGAGGAATACTTTCAAATTCCAACATTCAGTCCATGGCTCACCATAGCATCTTGAAAAGAAGGCACTGACCAAGGATTGGAGAGTTAGGGAAAATCAAATAGTTTTTCCATTCCCAAGGAGCATGCAGACTACACAAACCTGATAGGGAAGGGCAATGTAAAGAATTTTTAAGATCCAGGGAGAGTCCATGTGAATAAGAAAACCATTTTGAGTTAAGACAGAGTCTGGGTAGCCTCCCTTTCTGATAGCCATAATAGTTATTCAGTGAGTGCCTTTTGATTGATTGACCAATGTGTAGAAACTAAAGTGGGACAAGGGTAGGCCTCAACAGAGTTCCTCATATTGCCTCAGCTCTCTTCCAGGCTTCTGTGGCCTGCCCATGAAAAGTACACTAAACATTTTTCACGATTCCTTATGAATGGCACCACTAAGAAATATTACTACAGGTAATTAGCAACTTCAGTTCTCAATGAGCCATAATTCCCATCTCCACAGAAATTGTCATCCCCTGATAGGGGGGCTCTCTGTAACAGATCTTCAGAGAAGAAGAAATTATACTCTCTCTAAGCCACTACATGCTGTAATCTTCTTCCTTGTGTTTTGTTCTGGGAGAACTTGGTGAGTAGAGTGGCTTCTGGGAACTCTCAAAGTGAATACACTCTCCTCTTCTCACCACCACCTTTCCCCAACTCGGTCAAAAGGAGCAGAGAGTATAAGCCCTAAACAAATGGGTGAGGGTTTAGAATGAAGAAAGATTTTGGGAGAAGCAGGTAGAAGGCCTTGACTAGCATAAGGATCAGTCTGATAACCAGGCACTGTAGTGCAGGCACCTTATGTAGGTCTGTGGGAAGCAGTCAGGCACCTGTGCCTTTCTCTGGCAGTGCCTGTCAGGCTGGCTAGACTGCAAGATTAACCCACAGAGAGCAGGCAGGTTGGGGCAAAGTGGAATTGAAAAACCACTGGGCAGAGAGAAGCAGAGGATGAAGGGGAGAACAAAAGAAGGCTGCTGTTATGGGAGCACTAATTAGAAAATGGTTTGGAGTGATGTGTGAGAACCAGTGGTAATAATGAGAGAATGGGAGTGGAAGTGGCATGGGGTGAGATGGGAGTGAAGAAAGAGAAGATTCTATGAAGAAGGGCTAGGGGAAGGTATGGGGCTGGGACTACTTGGTGGGCTGAGAGGAAACAACAAGAATAGGACCATATGAGAGGGCTGTGAGGAAAGAACAGGGCTGGAAAATGAGACCGTGGGGCAGGACTTCAGAGATATAATGGAAGTTGAAGCTGAGCAGGGCCAGGAGACTCAGCAGATGTTTGAGAATGGTTCAGTATTAAGAGACAAAGCAAAAGTAAAGGACAGGTCATTCAAGAGGGGTCAGGGCTATAAGAAACATCAGAAGTTGGGAATGTAGATGATAGGAGGACAAGGAAGGGTCAAGGGAAGGAACCTTAGGGAGGTCAGAGGTTGGTCAGAGGTTAACCAGAGGCTGGGGAACAGGGTCTTAAGGAAGTCAGGACTGATGGGCTTGCATTGCAAGAGTGAAGGAGCTGGAAAGACTGATAAAGACAAAAGGCAAATGGTGCAGGGCGGTAGGACTCAAGACTTCTGTCACCACAGGGCTTGGACCCCAACCCCATGCCCATCCTCCCAGAAATTTTGGCACCTATTGCCCCCTGTGAGCTGGACCAGAAGATGCGCTTCATGGCCAGGGCCAGAGCCACGGGTTGGCTCGGGGCCGAGTGAGGAGGTGGAGGACTGGAACGCGCAGAGAGAGGGGTACAGATTTCCGAACCCACCGCACTCAGTTGCGGCTGACAAAGAGAAAGCTGTCAAAAGCAGTGCCGACTGTCCCCAAGTCCCTTCCTGCTCTATCCGAGACAAAAACCCTGATACTGGGCTTAAAACTCCGCCCGTGGCCCTGCCCCACTTCGCCTTTGTAGAGGCGCAATACCTACAATCTTTGGCTGCGACTTGGGCTCGGTCTCCAACCCTGCTCTCCCAAACCGAACCATCCCCTAGCTCGAACCTGTTCAGAAACAGAGAGAACCCAGCCAACTTAGACTAAAACTCCTCTCCCGGCCCCGCCCCTCTCCACAGTTTCAGGAGGCAGCTCCACCCCAGACCCCGCCCGACCCGTGCTCCTAAAAGTGCCGCTGCAAGAGCAGAACAGGCCCAGCTTTTCTCCCCCCCCCCCCCCCCCCCCCCCCCGTTCTAGCCAACTGCCTTGTTTAACCACTGGTGACGGCGCTTTCATTATATCCAGAAACCTTTGGTCAACTTAGTTGGCTTCTGCTTCCTCCCCTATTCACCAGCCGAAGATTAGACACAAAAGAGGATTTAAAGAGAACAGTTTGGAAATGGGAGGAGACTTTAGTGTGGATAGCGCATGACTCCTCTCAACTTGGGAAACCAAACTTGAGGGAAAGGGAATCAGGTTTAACTTCTAAAGAACCTGTAAATTAGAAAAGGCAGAGGGAGAGGAAAGAATTATTTTAAGCACCCCCCGTTCTTTAAAAAACAAAACACAATTTCTACTACTCTTTAAATTGAAAAATCAGCAATTCTGACTTGAACAGTCAGTTGCAGGCAACCGGTCTATCCATCTCTCCTTTCTCCACCTGGCAGCCAGAGCCAACCCACTCAAATGCATAAGATAGCCTACTGGATACAGCTGAAAATGCTTAACATGGTTTATAAGGCTCACCAAGAGCTGCACCCTGCCTTCTGTGGTCTCATCTCCTACTACCCTCACAGTTCAATGCTCAGTCTATTCTAGTCTATTACGATTTCCTTCTGGACTGGCGATTACTGGTAATCACCCCCAGAATGCCTCCTCTCACACTTGGTGTCCCTCAAGCCAAATGTTTTTCTTTTTCCTGTAATGTTTTCCCTTGCAACCCTGCTATCACCCTCCCCCTAAAAACACACCTCAAAAAATTGTGCCAAATTTTGTGATACGATTTTAATTCTGCCATATTATATAGCAACCACCTCTCTGTATTTGCTATTATTTGTTTATATCTTGTCTTCCCTACTAGACTGGGTTCTTTGATGGTAGGAGTTGTATTTTATATTATTCTCATTGCCTGGCACATATTAGGTGCTTAATGTCTGATGAGTGACTGAAAGAATGAATGAATGATTGAAGAAATGAAGGCACAACAATGGGAAAAAAGGAAAGAACATATGTGTATGGAGAGAGCCTGTTGTTTCTACAGGTGTTTATCAAACTGGCTTTGTTCCAAAGGAAAAGGAAAAGGTGCCAGGCTTATTGAAGAATAGGTTGGAGTAAAAGAAAGTCCCATTCTGAAAAAAAAAAAAAAAAAAAGAAGTCCCACTCTGGAACTGAGGGATAGAGAGGACAGGGATCTCTAGATGGATAAGAATACTAAAAGTTGCTCTTTTGATCACAGGGATAAAGAGTTAGATTGAGCCCTGGCTGGTGTAGCTCAGTTAATTGAGCTCGGGCCTGCAGACCAAACAACCGTGGTTCAACTCCCAGTCAGGGCACATGCCTGGGTTGCAGGTCAGTTCCCAGCAGGGGATGCATGAGAGGCAACCACATATTGATATTTCTCTCCCTCTCTCCTTCCCTTCCCCTCTGAAGATAAATAAATAAAATCTTTAAAAAATATATTTAAAAAAAGACAGATTGAACCAGTCCTCAAGGATTATAACCATGGCCTCATTACCAGCCCCATAAATAGTATGTTCCATAAAGGTTAAACTATTGTCCATTCAAGTGCACTCAGGGCCACCATGGACTCCTCCTGCCACAAAATAACTCATCAACTTGCCACAAAATAGTTGTTCCTGCCTAATAGGTCAGACAGGCCACCATTGTCAGTCAGGTAACAGAGGCAGAAACATGGTCTCTAGAAGGCCATTGCTGAGGTGCACATATTCCTTGAGGGTACTGTAAGAACTCTGGGTGTCTAAAGAAATAAAATAGATTTGATTTCTGCCATTAGAATCTCAAGTTAAACAACTAATTATCACTTTAGTCTACTGAAGTGCACGTGAAGGCTTATTTCAAAGGGGATGAGGCCCAGGGTAAGAGTTAGTGGGAGTGGACCATGGCACCTAGAAGAAACAAATGTTCAGGGTCTATGAAGAGAAAGCGAGTTGCAGACCAGGAGCATTACCTGGTGCTTCAATATACCTCCCATTCTATCTGTACAACACATGGTAGGGTAGATTATTTAATAACCAAATATTTTTATAACAACAGTGACCATTTAAGAGGACTTATCATACGCTCACTTTACTTGCTTACATAATTTAGTCCTTACAACCCTTATAAGTTTAAAGGCAAGAAAGCCAAGACTCAGAGAAGTTAAATCTGTTCAAAGCCAAAGAAGATTTAAGAAGTATAGCTTAGATTAGATCCAAGCCTGTTTTCATTCTTAACTACAGTTATACACAGCCTAATGTTGTTATCTGAGCCTTGGGGTAGTCATGACTTGCCCAAGGCCACACAGCTAATAAATGGCAGACCTGGGGTTTCAGTCTAGGCCTAGGTATTTATAAAATCTACACATTTTACACAGAAGGTTACAGCACCACTCCAAGGGTGAGTCACAGAAAACACCTCAAATATTTCATAACTTTACATTCCAGGGACTCAACTATGTAAGGTCTCACTTCAGGGGAACCAAGAATCACCTCTGATCATTCCTGAGCAGTCCATATCCTAACAACTCAAATAGAGCCAGAAGTCATCTGACACTAAACTTTATTTGCTCTGGCCATCTAATATACTGTCCACCATGCTGGGAAAGAGTGACAACGCCAAAGACCAGAGACATGCCAAAATAAATATTGTTGGCCTCAGGAACTGTCCTGGAGGACAGGTTCTGTGTCTGCTAGTTAAATGCCTGATCAGGTCTCCTCTCTTCTCAACTCTAAATGGGTGCTGCACTCTAGAGACCAATAACTGACTTTGGTATTCAAAGTCTTGATTACAAAGAAATATAAGTTACCCATTTGTTGATAAGAATTTAATTCCCTTAACTGGTCATGACCAACAAATGGGAGGGATTTGGGGGTAACCCACTGATAGAAATTAACTCGAGAATTTCTGGTAAACATCAGGCAGGGGCTGGAAAAGTGATTCCAACAGAGAAGGCCTATAAAGTATGACTAAATTGAGCATTTTGTGTTAACCAACCAGTGCTGGACAATGAAAGGCTTGCTCCCCAGAGACCTCTAGCCACTCACTTCAGCTTCCTCCTTAATGCAGACCCCATTCATTCAGACTTCTTGGCTTCTTCCCAAAGCTGATAAGTTGAAAGGGTTTCCCACCATCGAACAGCAATCATTTCCCTTCTCTGTAGTTTATAGAGAGCTCAAGAGAGTCTGAAGCCTGAGAGGAGAAAATACTGCTGAGGTAGAGTCTTCTCTGCTATTCCAGCTCTAGCCACCTGGGGGCCCCTGGCTCCAGAGAATCGGGGACCGTGCTTTACTCCCAGGGAATAGTGGGAGTTGGGCTAGTGTGCCATACCCAACATGCCAGAGGCACTCAGTTTCACTAGCACCTGAGGGCGGGCTAGTGTGCCGAAATCTCAGGTTTCAGGGGGGAGGCAGTTGCCTGTGTAAAGGCTTCTTTGTTTCTTGGAATTATACAGAATGTCCCTTGTGGCTTTTCCGGCTTCCTCCTCTTTTCCTCTTGACTCTCCCCAACTGGTTTTCTGAGAGGCCAGACTCCAGAGAAAAGCAGCAGATGTTGACTTTACTTCTTTCAAGCCAACTTCAGCTCCCTTCTGTGGAGTGGGAGCAGGCAGGAAGGTGAGAGGCAGGGAATAGAGGAAGATAACCCCTCATCCTTTCCAAGTTGTGAGGGGAGATGTGGAAGGAATCTGAAAGGAATCAGGGACTTAGACAAAAAAATTCTTGATTCCTGAGGATAGGGGAAAAGGCCCCAGGTATTGGCTGTGGAACCAGGATCAGGAGGAGTAAAGCAACAGCAGGAGTGTTCCTAGTTTGGGTGTTAGCTCTTCTTGCCTGAGGTAAGGCCTCATCTCTTGCCAGTGGCTTCCTCATGACTCAAAAGTCAAGCCAGGGTTCAGGTCTGGGGAGATAGCCCAGAGGCTTATTGTTGTCCCCTCTGAGTCCCCAGTCCTCTACTCTTTTGCAAGTCTTTTGAAGAGGATTCCAGAGAGGACTTTCTCAGACTTTATTCTGCATTCATTGCTCTAATTTCTCTTCTTTTTTTTCTTCCTTGGTAATCTTCTTACAGGCAAAGAAGCCAAGCTGTAGGAGAAGAGATAAGAGTTATTGTCAAATGTCCTGCCCGGGGACCTTGCCAACAGCTCTCAGACATATCTGAAGTTTTCGCTTTTGTTCTGCTTCCAAACATGAGGTTCAAATTCATTTTGTTTGGCTTAGTTTAATTCAACCAGTATTTGTAGAGTACACAAAAGGGGATCCAGGCACGACACCTGGCACAAACTCTGTTTTCCCTGCTATAATCAAGGATCCCTTAACTCATGGGCACCATGCCCCACACTTCTAACTAAAGTCGGCCATGCTTACCTTCCAAAGGCAGAAGAAAAGCAAGCAGCAGCAGCCCTCCCAGAACACTGCCAGTAAGGATCCACAGGGAGATAAGGACAGGTCAGGTCTGAATCACTTCCAGGAGGCTCTATATGGAGAAAATTATTTTGTACCTGCACCCTTTCATCCAGCTAGCCTCATCCCACATTGTAGCAAAGCCAGCCTCAAAATAGAAGACTAAAAGGAATGAAACTAAGGCAGGAATGGAGGCAATGAGATGCTAGCATTCTTTTTTTTTTTAATAGTTCATTTTTATTGTATTTTTTCCATTACCATTTATCCCCTGGGACCCTGGCATTCTGATTTATCACTTCTGACTCCCTGATTGCTGCCTAATAAGGATATTTCTGTTCTGAAGAAAAGCCCACAGGTGTCCTTACCCCATCCCCACCCTTACTTTTCACAACTCTCAAAGTCATCCTCCAGCCTCACCTCACTCCAATGGGAAGCTTCAGTT